TCATATCTAAAAATAAATAATATAAGAACAATAAAACATTATTCTAATGTTCCTATTGAAAATTGTTTTAATCTATCATTAGTAAACATCCAATTCTCTACTTGGGTCAATTAAATACATTCAATTAACAATTTTCACAATTATTTGTCATATGCTAATAACATTTATTTAATTCGCAAATTTTTCAATCGAAAATATAAAAGAAAATCATTGTTCAAATAAAAATCATTCATAGCTATATCTATTTAGCATATGCTAAGGTAATATATATTCTCTATCCAACTATTGTTCCAGCACGAACCACAGTTGAACTGGTGGCCTTCCGCTTCTTTTGTGGCCCTTCCTCCGAGGTTGATCCTCATCAAATCGTCCCCTTAAAAGTCTTTCTCTACTTGGTCCAATTAAATACATACAAAATGTACTAATCACAATTATTGTTCATATGCTAATAACATTTATTTAATGCAAATTTCCAATGAAATATAAAGAAATCATTGTCAATAAAAAATCATTCATAGCTATACTATTACATATGCATGGTTAATAGTATATCTCTATCAACTATTGCTTCCAGCATCGAGAGCCACAGTTGAACTGGTGGCTTCCGCTTCTTTTGTGGCCCTTCCTCCGAGGTGATCCTCATCATCGCTCCCTCCTTTAAAGCCTTTAATTCTTTCATTATAGACTCCAAAGCTCGAAGTTCAACTTGAAGCTGACTTATGTAATCTGGTTCTGCTGGTATCCTTCTAACCAATTCTTTGAAAACTCCTTTGGCCTTTACAAAGGCTACATCTTCTAATTTTTTGGTGACCCTTCCGACAAACCTGTAGTTGGAAATATCTCCATGACTCAATTTTTGAATTTCTGGTGGACCATCTCGTATGAGCTCATCTGCTTCATTTATGGTCGATTCTGCCATTGAAAGCCACAAGCGAACTTGTGGCAGCAACATCTTTTCTGGCCCTTCCTCCAAGGCTACATTCTGCATGACATCCTCCTTTAAAGCGTATAATTCCTCTCTTGCAGTGCTCAATGCTTCAAGATTAGCTTGAAGTTGATTTGCTGGTTCTGCCATAACCACTTCTTTAAAATCTCCTTCATTCATCAAAGTAGTCACTGTTTTCAAACTTTTTGCAACACTTCTCCCAAATGTGTAGCTGGATTTGCAGTTCTTGGAGCAACAGCCTGCTATACATAACTTCTGTCTTTCTTGTATAGCTTTGCTTAGCAGCTGATTAATTTTAACTATGGCAGCATCCACCCTCGAGAGCCATCCAACTCGATCCATCTGCGCACGGTTTCCTGTCTTTCGATTGACGCTCAGCCGCAACACATCAGTCCTTAGGTCTCTAATTGAATCTCTATAGTCCTCATCCTCATAGATTAATCTCAACTTGTATATATATTCCCAATGTCCAGCAATGCAATCCCAGCAAGCGCCACCAAACATTCAACGGCGTTGAATCCTTAAAGTACATTTACCCTAGCCTGCTGTTACAATTGGATCCGGAAAGAAATCTATTTCCAAAGAAAGATGAACGTGAACTTAATGAAGGAACAAGCTGAAGGCATAGTTCAAAAATGATCTAGATATAATTGTTTTCTTGTGGAATTTTAAAAGGCTACTTGAAGCTAATACTAATTGTTTAACCATTGCCTCAACTTGCATTCTCAAAGTTGACTTCTTGTGGGTACTGACTCGGTCATTGAGTGGGGAACCTTTGCTCTTGTTTGTCACTATGAAATGTTAATGTTTAATGTAATAAGCAAGTGGTTGTTTTTTAATTAACGTTTCTAATAGTTTTGTTCAGTTTAATGAATATTGGAATTTGGTTGGCTACTTAATCCATAATGGAGACTTTGCAATTAAAACAATTTTAAGAGTAGAGTGCTCTTTCTTGTTATCAACTTGAACAGCAATCTTTGTTCAATTATTGGATTCTGTTTCATATGAGTAGCTTTAGATAGACAAGTCTTTTTTTCGTTATTATTTTTAGGTATGTAAATCCTTTAACCAGTGTTTATATATTAGCATTAGAACATAATTGTGGATTTTAAATTTAAGGGTTAAAGGTTTGAAATTGTGTGAAGATGTCAGTGTTTATATATAATTAGTAATATAGTATTAGGGATTTTAGAATTTGAGAGAGCGAAATGAATAATTTTTTTTTTTTTTTGAATTAATATATATGTGATAAAATTTTCTTTAGTTAAGAAAAAATATATATAATATGAACGGAGAGGGACCGATTGAAGTTGTAATTTCCTAATAAAATAAAATAAGAACACTTTTGTTCTAATTTTAAAAAAAAAAAAAAGAAAAATAAATATTATCTATTAGAATACAAGTTGTCTGGAGACTGGATATAAGTACAATAATACAATCGCCGTGAACCAGAAGTAAGACAATTTGAAAAAAAAAAAAAAAAAAGACGGCTACGCTAACATTTCTTTGGAATACAAAACTAATTATATTATTCATTTTTGCTCTGTCATTGCAGCAATTACGGGGTTTGCGCCACCGTATAAGGAAGTTAATGGTAAGAAATGACAAACAATAAAACCTAGCCCATGTGGCACCGGCGTCCTCCAATTAAATGTACTGAATCGCTTCTCAACCAAAACTTGAATGATTCTGGCTACTCCCAAGAGTTCTGAATATCCCAGTACGGGACATCATTATAATGTGAGATTTGGAATTAAGTTTTAGCCATTTCCACGAAAAATGTTAAATAACCTCTTCATGCTTCGACAGTAAATTAACCAGTATTCCTTTTAGAAATCAAGTTTTCGACGTTTTCTAACATCTGCAATCAAGAGAATTAACGAAGCATAAGAAAGAGATTACCTCAATTCACTGTTAGAACCTGGACACATCATAGGCTACTAATTTTGATAAATTAACCACGTTTGACGTCGTCCAATGAATAAGGTCGAACTCAACATACTTAAATATTCCTCTTCCTACTCAAAAGAAAGTCCTGTTAATGAAGTTGACTGATCACTAGCTTCAAAAGGATACCTACTTCAATAACTCATTGTACAGTAATAATAGAATGGGATGATAGGCAAGTACAGTGATCCTCTCTGAGAATGAGTGCTGGCAATGCTTTTTAATTATTCTTTGGACGCGTAACATGTCGTCGACAATTCCATTTCGCAAATCTTACACTTCATCCAAGAAAGCCAAGAAATGGATCAGCTCCATTCTCCTTCTACTACTCATTCTATTGGCTTTCCTGCACTATATCTGACTTCTTACTAACTCGTCCATCAGAAAGGACACGAACCTGGTGGTGTACATTCCACGAAAAATTTAACAGGATAAAGAAAATAAATCGCTGTAAATGTATTATATATATATTATATACACGGCATCATAACATTAAAATGAATACCTTGCCTTTAGCCCCTTCCATTAATATTCTAGTAAGACCTATAAGGACAGTGGTTCTCCAAACAAAAGATCATTGGGTGAGACAAATGCAGTGAATGTTCATAGTCCTTTAATCGATACAATCTTGCACTTGTGCACTAAAACTAGAAATAGCAATGCATCATCCCACCACATAAAATATCCGCTAAGCTGTATCATCACATTCTCCGTCACAATCCCTATCAAGCAATCCTGAAAATTTCGGTAATCTCTCAAGAATTTGTCCAATATTTGGACTTGATCGATTCATACACTAAATGAACTGAGCCGCTTAGCTTTGCTTCATCCCTCTCGCCCGCGAAGATTATATCGCATGTGGATAGGACCAAAAGGAGACACTTTTTGGTTCAAGTGTTGGTCGAAATACTGGACTGTCATGCATGCACATTGGAATGAGCCTTTTGAATCCGTGGTGTCAGCTTGATGATTCACCTGATTTAATTCCCTTACACACGTCAGCCATTCAAGACTTTGATTAGTTATTAAGTTCATGAATAACATATCTACGTTCTGCAAGCTAATCGTTCTCTATCCACAGGTATAGCAACCAATATATGGTAAGTCTCTGAATTGGTATTGGAAGTTCACATCATTCTATAAAAGGACTGCTCTTCTGAGTCTTCTTCATGGTCTAGATTTTCGTTTAATTAATTCCTCAGCCACTTAGTAAGCAAAGAAGCAGGTTCAAAATGCTTTGATCACTTTAATAAAGCCAAAGCAATCCTTAATTAATTCCTCAGTCACTTAGTAAGCAAAGAAGCAGGTTCAAAATGCTTTGATCACTTTAATAAAGCCAAAGCAATCCTTAATTAATTCCTCACCCACTTAGTAAGCAAAGAAGCAGGTTCAAAAATGCTTTGATCACTATATAAAGCCAACAAACTTAATTAGCAAAGAAGCAGGTTCAAAATGCTTTGATCACTTTAATAAAGCCAAAGCAATCCTTAATTAATTCCTCACCCACTTAGTAAGCAAAGAAGCAGGTTCAAAATGCTTTGATCTCTTTAAAAGCCAAAGCAATCCTTAGGCCCCGGGTTACACTGGATCTGAAAATGGGCTTGGATTCACCAGGCCCACAAATATGAGCCCAGACCATAAAATGTCCATGCCTACCTAAAAGCACTGAGCCACTGATAATCATATTTGAACTTTGACCGATTCTTCTTATAACCCCTTAAACTACAGGGTTCAATCCTGCAGTGCCACAAATATTATCAAATTTATGCTTTAGGCCAATTAATTTGGGGTCTCTCAACATTTTATCATGTTTTTATCATCCTGCACATAATGGTGTGCGTTAAATGCATAATAAATCATACTGAAGAACACAATGCATACCTGCAGGCATTGATCGAATGTGCCCACAATTAAACACGGCAAACATTTATATCTAATTGATTTAAATTAATTCTCTCAAGTCACAAAACAAACTAGATACTCAATTGATTAATTTGATACCTGGGAAAACACAGAATAATGTAACAGATAGCAGCACCCAGTAATTGTCCACCAATTACAAATGAACTGGTAATATACTAAAAAAAAATAAAGAACTAACTTGGTGGTTGCAAAAACAAAGATTTTGAATACTGTGAATAATTACACACTATTACCAATGTTTTTCCGTATCAAATTAGAAAGTACAAATAATGATCACTGAATTCATGTTCACTTGAAACTCTAGTTTAAGCAACAAACACAGTAGAATATTTAATCACTGAATTATAGTTCCATTTAGCACAGAGAGAATGAAAATGAGAAGCTTATCTCCTGGTGAAAGTTCTGATGCGCAGAAGATACATATGGCCAACATCAGAAGCTGCAAATCTTGCATTTGATATCAATATTGTTGGTTCCATAAAACATTGTAATAATAATGATAAAGCATAAACATAATCTAAACTTCCAGGGAAAAGCTTTACCAATCAACTTCAACAAAATTCTTTTAACTTTACTTCTCCAGAGTTCAAATGGTGGTGGGCTGCGCATGTTTCTTGCACCAATATACTTAATTTATCGCTGCGGGAAGCAGGCATCCTTCTTTCTTCCATCATTGTCCACCAAAAAATATACTAGTACACCATGGCAGATTGCAAATGATATTGCAGCCACACAAGTACCATCAGAGGATACACAAAATCAGCATCAACCAATGCTAGATATATACTATAAGGAGTCCTATATTATGAAATGTTGATTTTTTATTAATCATTAATAATTATAGAAGTCTTGAGAAGACATAGGAAATCAATTAGAGATGTTTCTCCCAAGTGTAACAGGAGTACAGTGGTCAATGTCATGCGTCATCAACTGAAGACTTCTAGAAACAATTTATAGAAGTCTTGGAAATGGCCACATATCCTTGTGAAGCATCAGCATGTTAATCAGCCTAAACTCTGTCCAATTCCAAAGTCCTAAGGCATGCTAAAGAAACTGAAGTGCACTACAAATGGAAGCACTACAAATGGAATGTTCATCATATAAAGAGCAAAAAGCATAAAACGACAGATTATCCAAACAATTGAAGAGTTCAGACAGCAAACCAGAAAAAGAGCATCCCTTACGTTGGAATTAAATGCAGCAGCATGCTTTTATATCATGATTTTGATTACCGTTGTTTTAACCTGCGAGGATTAAGGCCATTTTATTATCATTAACATGGTATGAAAATGTTGTGTTAACACCATTAAATTTTGACAGATAACAGTATTGAAATAAAACAGATAATTAAAAGAAAATACCAAAGGCCTGGGCAGCCAGCCACAAGTTTCTGCAGGAAATCAAGTGTGGATGTTGCCCAACAATCTATGCCCAGTATAAGCTTTACTCTATGAATCATCATCTTGAGGCCTCCGCAAACAATTAAGCAAGCCTCCCACATTGGCCATGATATGCACTGGTGAAGCATCAGCATATTCATCACCATACTGCTATACACCATATGTAACAGCATATGAAAACAGTTTGATGAAAGAATCCCATAGAAATGATCAGCGAAAAGAAAAAAATGTGGCAAAATCTTGATAAAGCCACCTCTTGATTATCAAAAGCAACTCATGGAAAGCATTGTCAATTGTTCACCTCATAAGTACTGAGAATCAATTTTGTTGAACTTGCAAAGGACATAGCCAGTCAACACATTGGATCTCAATAAACAAGTTCAGTAAACTGGAAAAATCGAGAATAGCAATAAGATAAATTCCCAATAGAACAATAACTTCAAAGTGTAAATTAGAGTTCACAGTAAGGAAATTTCTAATCCACATCCAGCCAAATAAATAAAATAAAAGAAAGCATTAACAAAAATAATGAATTAAGTATGGCAACTTCTTAAATCAAAATATACACAAATGAGATCTACATTTACAATTCCTTCCATGCTATTTGAATCCTGTACATCATCTTGATATCAATGGGGAAAAGATATTGAAGAGTGATAGAAGAAGAAGAAGAAGAAAGAGAAAAAAAAAAGCCTAATCTCTAAAGCTGAAAAGAAGTGTACTATTAGCAGGTATCAAATTTCTTAGCATATCAAATTTCTTAGCATCATCAAATGTTCATCATCTGAAATATGAAGCATATGACGTAGATTTGTCAATCTTGCTTCATCTACCCATGTCAAAGGCCCTGAAGCATATAAATCCTCAATTGCACAAAAATATTTTAGTAATTCTGACCTATGGAATTCTACCTCTGATTGCTCATCCGGTGAAACTTAACATCCTTCTTTCTCATAAACCTCTCCAGAAGATGATTCAGCATCACTATAGTAACCTTCTAAATTGTTACTCTGCTGTCTAGAAAACCTAAAGGGTGAGTTGTGTCCACCATTGCTCATAGAACTAGAACTAGCAACAGAGGATGCACAATCATCAGTATGTAAATATAATGAGGACTCTAGAAGAGAACTATCAGTTCCCCTACTTTCATCCATTCTAGAAAGTTCAGCTGTAGGAATATTACAAGAAGAATGCACATGATTTTCACCCAATAATTCATTTCGACAAACAACTGCATCTACCTTTTCATAAGTTGGAGATTCGTGTAATGAAAAAATTTGTTGATGGCTACCATCTTTTATAATCAGTCTCTTCTTTTGAGCAGCTACTGAATTAGCATCTAGATCATACAGGCCAAATGGTGATCCTCTCTTCAATGTTCTAGTTGAAACCACACAAGACTTTGGAATGTCAGTCATTTTCTCCACCAGACTGGAATCATCTCCAACATATTGCTTTATCCACGCATATGATTGTCTTTTATCCATAGGCATGGCGCCATGCTCCGGACCCTGTTTCAAAATCCCATCAACAATAATTAGAAGATGTAAATTATAACTAGGCACAATGACATGAAATGATTATATGATAATTTGAATCACAAGGCATGAAGAATACATTCGAACTAAGGTGATAAAATTCCCCATATTGAGAATCTCAAGAAAAATGTATCACAACCTATCAATGAGCTGCAAGCATTTAATCTCTGCCAACAATAAACAGTGACCAACAAGCAAGCTCAAGAAGATGATCAGGCTTCCATTCTCCTTCTACAACTTCAGTTTCTATTGGCTTTCCTGGTACCATATTCTGACTTCTTACGAACTCGTCCATCAGAAGGGACAGACCTGGGTGGGTTTATTCACAAAAATGTTAACAGGATACTAGAAAATATCGCTGAAATGGAATATATATATATATATATATATAAATATCGCTGAATGGACTATATATATATACTATATATATCTACTATATATTATAATATTATTAATATTATTATATATTATATATTATATTATACAGGCATTTATACCATTCATTCTACATACTTTTGCCTGTTTGAAAGGCCCCTTCCCTTAATATTTCTTGTAGATCATTAAGGAAGTTTAATATTTCTAGTAGACCATAAGGAAGTTGTTCTCCAGAAGGAAAAGATCATTGTGAGACAAGATTGCAGTGATGTTCAGAGTCCTTAATCTATACAAGTCATCACTTGTGCAGCAAATTACATAGAATAGCAATGCACATCCATCCACAAAAAATATCCGGCTAAGCTGCTGATCATCGTATCGCTCCGTCACATCCTTACCATAACACTCCCTGAAATTTCGTATCTGCTTCAAGATTTTGTCATATTTGGAACTCGCATCGAGTTCATAATCACTAATAAACTGAGCCGCTAGCTTGTGCTTCATCTCCTCTCCCCATTGAAGATCATATCTACCATGGTGGATAGGACCAAAGGAGTACACTTTTGGTTGAAGGTGTTGGTGGAAATACTGGATGGCATGCAGCACAGATGGAGCCTCTGGAATCCGTGGTGTAGAGCTTGATGATTGATCTGACTTAATTCCCTTAACGAGGTCAGCATTCAAGACTTGGAAATTATTATCTGGTAAATTGCAGCCACCGTTATTATCCATGGATAATATATCTAGTTTCTGCAGCCAATCTGTTTCTATTCACAATATCTAGTTTCTGCAGCCAATCTGTTTCTATTCACAGGTATAGCAACCAATATATGGTAAGTCTCTGAATTGATATTGGAAGTTCACATCATTCTATAAAAGGACTGCTCTTCTGAGTCTTCTTCATGGTCTAGATTTTCATTTAATTAATTCCTCACCCACTCAGTAAGCAAAGAAGCAGGTTCAAAATGCTTTGATCTCTTTAAAAGCCAAAGCAATCCTTAGGCCCCGGTGTTCGTAAAGTTACACTGAATCTGAAAATGGGCTTGGATTCACCAGGCCCATAAATATGAGCCCAGACCATAAAATGTCCATGTCTACCTAAAAGCACTGAGCCACTGATAATCAGACTTGAACTTTGACCGATTCTTTGACCGATTCTTTTTATGACCCCTTAAACTACAAGGTTCAATCCTGCACTGCCGCAAATATTATCAAATTTATGCATTAGACCTTTTAATTTGGGAACTCTTAACATTTTAGTACGTTTTTATCATCCTGCACATAATGATGTGCGTTAAAATGCATACCTTCAGGCATTGATCGAATGTGCCCACAATTAAACACGGGAAACATTTACATCTAATTGATTTAAGTTAAGTCTCTCAAGCCACAAAACAAACTAGATACTTAATTGATTAATTTGATACCTGGGAAAACACAGAATAATGTAACAGATAGCAGCACCCAGCAACTGTCCACCAATTACAAATGAACTGGTAATATACTAAAAAAAGTAAAGAACTAACTTGGTTGCAAAAACCAAAGATCGAGTACCGTGAATAATTACAAACACTATTACCAATGTTTTTCCGTATCAAATTAGAAAGTACAAATAATGATCACTGAATTCATGTTCAGTTGAAACTCTAGTTTAAGCAACAAACACAGTAGAATATTTAATCAAAACGTGCATAAACCAGTAACTTTTAGTATTACATAATACTTCCATTTTTACAGAAATGGAACTATGTAATTGGCCATTTCTCGAAACTTATAGATCCATTTAGCATAGAGAGAATGAAAATGAGAAGCTTATCTCCTGGTGAAAGTTCTGATGCGCAGAAGATACATATGGCCAACATCAGAAGCTGCAAATCTTGCATTTTGATATCAATATTGTTGATTCCATAAAACACTGTAATAATAACGATAAAGCATAAACATAATCTAAACTTCCAATTAAACATATCTAAAACTTTCCAGGAAGCTTTACTAATCAACTTTAACAAAATTCTTTTCAACTTTACTTCTCCAGAGTTAAATGGTAGGTGTTGCCGGGGATTGTTTCTTTGCGTATCTTAAATTATATCACTGCGGAAGCAGGCATCCTTCTTTCTATCCATATTAGGTCACCAACAGATACTGATACACATGGCAGGATTGCACAATTGATTATTGCTAGCCAACAAGTCATCAGGGTTACACAAAATCAGCACTCAACCAATGCTACAATATATACTTATATTATGAGATGTATGATTTTTTATTAATCATAATTAATTTAGAAGTCTTGAGATTTGTATATAGGAAAATCAATTAGAATGTTTCTCGTAAGACTGTAACAGAAGTTACAGTGGTTAAATGTCATTGCGTCATCCTTGGAGACTTTTAGAAACATTCTATTAGAGTTTTGGAAATGGCCACATATCTTGTTGAAGCATCAGGCATTAAATAATCAAGCCTAATCTGTCCCAATTCCAAAGTATTAAGGCGTGCTAAAAGAAAACTGAAGTGTGCACTTCAAACTGGAATAGTTTATAATATTAAGCAAAAAGCATTAAAACGACAGATTATCAAACCATTGAAGATGTTCAGATAGCAAACAGGAACAAAGAGCAATCCCTTACGTGGAATTAAATGACAAGCAGGCATTTTATATCATGATTATTAGCATTACATTGTTTTAGCCCGCCGATTAGGCCATTTTATTTTCATTAACATGGGTATTGTGTTGTTTGTGATTACAACACCCATTTAACTTTATGACAGATAATGGGGGTATTAAATAGGTATTAAAATAAAACAGATAATTAAAAGATAATACCAAAGGCCAGGGCAGCCAGCCACAAGTTTCTGTAGGAAATCAAGTGTGGATGTTGCCCAACAATCTATGCCCAGTATAAGCTTTACTCTATGAATCATCATCTTGAGGCCTCTGCAAACAAGTAAGCAAGCCTCCCACATTGGCCATGATATGCACTGGTGAAGCATCAGCATATTCATCACCATGCTGCTAGACACCATATGTAACAGAATATGAAAACGGTTTGATGAAAAAATCCCATAGAAATGATCAGCGAAAAGAAAAAAATGTGGCTAAATCTTGATAAAGCCACCTCTTGAATATCAAAAGCACCTCATGCAAAGCATTGTCAATTGTTCATCTCATAAGTACTGAGAATCAATTTTGTTGAACTTGCAAAGGACATAGCCAGTCAACACATTGGATCTCAATAAACAAGTTCAGTAAACTGGAAAAATCGAGAATAGCAATAAGATAAATTCCCATTAGAACAATAACTTCAACTGTACATCACAGTTCACAGTAAGGAAATTTCTAATCCACATCCAGCCAAATAAATAAAATAAAAGAAACCAAATAAATAAAATAAAAGAAAGCATTAATGAAAATAATGAATTAAGTATGGCAACTTCTTAAATCAAAATATACACAAATGAGATCTACATTGTACAATTTCTTCCAGGCTATTTGAATCCTGTACATCATCTTGATATCAATGGGGAAGAGATATTGAAGAGTGATAGAAAAAGAAGAAGAAAAAGAAAGAGAAAAAAAAAAGCCTAATCTCTAAAGCTGAAAAGAAGTGTACTATTAGCAGGTATCAAATTTCTTAGCACCATCAAATGTTCATCATCTGAAATATGAAGCATATGACGTAGATTTGTCAATCTTGCTTCATCTTCCCATGTCAAAGGCCCTGAAGCATATAAACAACTTTGCACAAATATTTTAGTAATTTGACCTATGGAATTCTACCCCGAATTCTACCCCCGATTGCTCATCTGGTGAAACTGAACATCCTTCTTTCTCATAACCCTCTCCAGAAGATGATTCAGCATCACTATAGTAATCCTCTAAATTGTTACTGTGCTGTCTAGAAAACCTAAAGGCTGAGTTGTGTCCACCATTGCTCATAGAACTAGAACTAGCAACAGAGGATGCACAATCATCAGTATGTAAATATAATGAGGACTCTACAAGAGAACTATCAGTTCCCCTAATTTCATCCATTCTAGAAAATTGAGCCGTAGGAATATTATGAGAAGAATGCACATGATTTTCACCCAATAATTCATTTGGATAAACAACTGCATCTACCTTTTCATAAGTTGGAGATTCGTGTAATGAAAAAATTTGTTGATGGCTACCATCTTTTATAATCAGTCTTCTTTTGAGCAGCTACTGAATTAGCATCTAGATCATACAGGCCAAATGGTGATCCTCTCTTCAATGTTCTATTTGAAACCACACAAGACTTTGGAATGTCAGTCATTTTCTCCACCAGACTGGAATCATCTCCAACATATTGCTTTATCCACGCATATGATTGTCTTTTATCCATAGGCATGGCGCCATGCTCCGGACCCTGTTTCAAAATGCCATCAACGATAATTAGAAGATGTAAATTATAACTAGTTACAATGACATGAAATGATTATATGATAATACAATGACATGAAATGATTATATGATAATTTGAATCACAAGGCATGAAGAATACATTCGAACTAAGGTGATAAAATTCCCATATTGAGAATCTCAAGAAAAATGTATCACAACCTATCAATGAGCTGCAAGCATTTAATCTCTGCCAACAATAAACAATGACCAACAAGCAAGCCACAGTTTAGAACAAAACCACTAATCAGTAAAGAGGTCCAACAAATCAAAGTGCTGAATACTTGCTAGATAGTGACAGTTAGGTTGTAAAGCAAGAGGGCATTTTCAAGGACAGGACTTTCACCGATATATGCAAACAAGTGACAGAAGCTTTCCACTATTCCCAACAACAGCAAATATGTACAGACAAGTTAGAATTGAAAATATTACCTTTCCAATCACAAACCATTTGCCATCTTGCCAGCACTGTCGAACCCTCAGATGAGACTTATGGACCCGCAAACCTTTGGATGATCCAAGTATTCTAACAAAAAAGTAGTTCATACCCATATGTACAGACAAGTTAGAATTGAAAATATTACCTTTCCAATCACAAACCATTTGCCATCTTGCCAGCACTGTCGAACCCTCAGATGAGACTTATGGACCCGCAAACCTTTGGATGATCCAAGTATTCTAACAAAAAAGTAGTTCATACCCATAACCTTCACAATTCTTGCTGTTTTCCAGGCGAGATTGTGAAAAGCCTCAACAAGATTACCAGGAACCCAAGTATACACCCCTTGCATAGGAGGTGGGCAAGGCCTAATTGCCTTTCTAGGCACCCTTTCCACAACTGCTTCATTACTCACCAGAAACGAACCATACTTGACGCTATACGTGTGTCCATTGCCAGATATTATTTCAGCACATAGCCAAGCACCAGTAGAGACCTCTTTTTTGCTAAATACCTCTACCTTACTTCCTTTCTTGAATCTCATGGTGGCTATGATTAAACAAAGACAGAAAACCAACCTGCCATGACATAACAATTTAAAGATCAGCTCTTTGTTGCAAAAGAAATAGAAATCTATCAATACTGCAGCAACTGAAAAATAAAGGCAGACAAATGTAAAGAAATTATGCAATAATAGAAAAACAAGTATTATTAAGTATAGGATAAAAAAAAGTATTAGCAATATAAACCAATAGATAGAGGAAGATAGGGAAAAATACGTCAGCAGAAAACAAAACTAAAACCTAAAAACTAATTTAACATTAATCCCAGAAAACCTAAAAATAATTCATATAAACACTAGAAACAATTTTACTATATAGACAAATTAATCATACACTGTACAAAGCATAAACGCTAAAATATCAAAAGCATATCATCGCAAAATATTATGCAAGATAAAACCCTAACAAATTATGCAATTCAACACAAACCCTAGAAATAATTAGCAGAAATTTAAAATGTAAAAGAGCAATTAACAATTTATGTTTTGAGAATTAAACGAGACGATTGAATTGAATACACATGCAGAAAGAGAGATCTTACTGACCTTCGTGCTTCGAATTAGATTTCTACACAATCAGAGAAATTTATTTGAGTGAATGAAGCGATTGTTAAGTTTCTGAAAGGTATTTGAGTTAGGGTTTAGGATTATCTGACGGTTATCGTGTCATCTCTTGGTAATTACGGAAGTAGTAGGCGGTTTATCTTGTGGTGGCTGTGGAACTAATCAGACTCGTCCACGTCAGCGTACTTAAGGGTTGTACAAAATAAATTATAAAATCGACTATAAAATATTTGGTTGCCAATGGATCCATATTTCATATTACCGTCTATTCTTTTGGTAGAAATTAATAAATAATATTTGAATATCTTTGGTCAAAAGAAACGAGTATTTATATTTTCCAATGTGTTTTTTTTTTTTCAAACTTTTTTTTTATTTGATTTAATAGATGGGAATAACAATATTAATTAGCCAGTAAGAGTAAGAGTAGTCATCTCCTTTAATAGTAATTCAACAAAAATGAGCAATCACTTTGATCAATTTATTTGGTAAATTCGAATTTAATTTTTGATTCAGTTACTAAACTTGGATTTTTTCAATAATGATGCGATTGAAGCTAAATCTAATCGTATTAATTAAATTAATATAAAAGAAAACAATGCAACATGTTTAAAATTAGAAAACAAATAGGATTTTTAATTAAAATATAATGATTAATTTGGTTAAAACAATTAATAAAATATTTTACCAAAGTCGATGGATGAATTTATTTTTCATTTCCATTTATTTTGGCACAATTAATTGTAAAAATTAATTTTTTCAATTTGATTTAATTAAATTCGATCAAATATAAAATTCAATTAAATTTGATTAATTTAAAAAATAATTCAATTAATTTGATCCAAATTGTCTGAATCAACAGAATGCTCACTTCTAGTAAACGATGATAATTTTTTTAATTGAAAAAAACTCTTTATTAGAAAAAAAAATATATAATATAGCATAGTTTTGACAAAAAGTACAATATATTGATTTTAGAAAACACATTTGCATGGGTCATAGGGTCAATCACAAAGTCTCCTTCTGATCTTTCTTTAATCTTTAAAAAGGAATTTATAAATTTTTATCTTTTTGTTTTTCAAAAGAATTAGATGGTACTATTTGACTTTTCAAATTTGTTCTAAGCTGACTTTGAAACTCATAGCTTCAGTCTATCCTGGCATGTACGTTACTTAAAATTAAAATACTAAAATATATTTGTATGTTAACATTAAAAAAACGGTCGTAATTTAAAAAATTCCCAATAATTTATAACATAGAATTTGTGGTCTTATTTTGAATGAGAAACAAATAATTTGATAAAAATAATAAACTCATTAATAAAGAATAATTGTTTTAATTTAATTTGTTTTCTTTGAGAGGATGTTTGGTTGAATTGATTCATATAACTGAGAGCCAGTAGAAACTCAAACAACAGTTAATTTCATCAATTAAGTTTTGGAGTTTTTTTTCTTTATAAACTACTAGTTGATTTCAATTTAGAGAAAGCAAAAAGAGCACAAGCATTAAAGAGGTGGTTAAACATAATGAATATTTTTGCCAATGCAATACCCATAATCAGCTTAAAATACATAATTAATAGTTAAAAAAAGCCAACTCACTAAAAGATTATTCTAATGACATATTTATTAACCAAAATTTTGTAGGATTGCAAGAGTCTTTTCAATTTTAAATTAAAATATTTCAATATAATTATATCATTTTCGAAAATAAGACCGTAGTAAGAAGAAAACTTGGTCTCAACCATCATGAACTTATCTTCTTCATACGCTTAGTCCATTAAAGAAGGGCACTCAATTTGTTCATTAAAATAAAAAAGTTATCCCAGTGTAATATTGATATAAAGGCTATTATTTAAAACGTAGGGTGCAGGATTGTATAAAAGCTGGCCAACATACAAAAAATGTTCGTGCTCACATACTTGAAGTCGAGCAAACTTCTAAGTCACCACATACAAATATAGTTCTAATATAAACTGTTGAGTTTGTTTGCTAAAACCGAACATGTAGAGTATTATTGGAGATTTTATTGTGAAATTGAAGAAAGTTACATCGTGAGAAAGATTACAAGTTTTGTTACTGGAGTGAAAGTTTGGGGATTGCTTAGTTGAGGAGTACATAAAGGAAGAAGACTAATTTTTGTCTCCTCTCTCCCGCAATGGTTGTACAACACCTTACTCCTCCAGCCCCTAGATAATCATCATACGACGTCGTTGAAGTTCCTGACTTTCAACCGCACAAGTTAACATTTAACGTCTCGCACTTTTAAACCCACAACGTGGCGCCATATTAACCGCTCCAATAACTTCCCTTCCCTCCTAATTTCCCTCTGTCTCTCTCTTCTCAAACAGGTTATGCGATTATCACTTTCCCTCTCTAGACCTCAGTATCCATTAACAATGCCTTCCGGGTCATCTACTCTTATGTGGTTTCGTAAGGGCCTTCGGATCCACGATAACCCGGCTCTCGAGTATGCTTCAAAAGGGTCCAATTTTGTTTACCCAGTTTTTGTAATTGATCCGCATTACATGAAGCCTGATCCGAACGCATTCTCTCCCGGGTCCACTCGAGCTGGCCTCAATCGCATTAAGTTCTTGTTGGAAAGTCTTGCTGATCTTGATTTAAGCCTCAAGAAGCTTGGCTCGAAATTGCTGGTCTTGAAGGGTGAGCCTAGCCAGGTTTTGATTAGCTGCTTGAAGGAAGTAAGAGCCTTTATCTATCTCAATGCTTTTTTTTTCCCCTTTTTTTTTTTACCCATGAAGAAATTTTGCTTGTTTGATCACTTTTTGTTGTTATGTAGTGGGACGTGAAAAGGGTTTGCTTTGAATATGATACTGATCCATATTACCAAGCTTTAGATGTTAAAGTGAAGGTAACCACAAAGCACTAAATTAATTACTGTCCTTTAATAAGCTAATTTTACAGTATTGGTTGCATATAAAAATGTGACCTTGTAATTTTTATTAGCTGGTAAGAAATTTTTTTTTTTTTTTTCCTTAAGGACTTTGCTTCTTCTGTTGGAATTGAAGTTTTCTCTCCAGTGAGTCATACTCTTTTTAATCCTGCAGATATCATACAAAAGGTAATGGAATTATGACATCCTTAAATTATTGCGGAACAATTTTTTGACATACTTTTGTACTGGTTTTGATGAATCATTAAATTATTAATTACAATAATTTAAGTACAATGATTTGTACTTAATTTGTACTTAATTGAGTACAAATTATTAAGAACTATATGTTGTACTTAATTAAGTACAAATCAACATTTTTCTACGCTAATTTTGGCTAGTTTTCTCTTTTCCAATGATTTTCTCTAAAAGAATGGAGGAAAACCACCGCTGACTTACCAATCATTTCTAAAAGTTGCTGGAGAACCGTCATGGGCATCATCCCCTCTCTCAATCTCGATTTCCTCACTTCCCCCTGTTGGAGATGTTGGGAGCTGTGAGATTTCAGAAGTTCCAACTGTAGAAGAACTTGGTTATGGAGATGTTGAACAAGTATGAAACTAAAACGTGTAAAGATTGTTTCATCTTTTTATTCTTTTTTTCTGAAACTGCTTCTAATGTGGGAATTAGTCTTGCAGGATGAATGGACTCCTTTTAGAGGTGGTGAGTCAGAAGCGCTGAAGAGTTTAAGAGAATCAATCAAGGACAAAGTATGATTTTTTCTGTATCATGTAGAAAATTTCGTTTGTTTCTCATTTATAGCTGATGATTTCAAAATAAATGGGTTATGAATTTATTTGCTTCACACCTTCATTCTTTTTTTCCGAGGTATTGTAGTCCTCTAGAATATTATACCTTTGGATGTTTAACTCTGAAACATTGCATTAACAAATATGCAATAATACACATTACTTTCTGAAATTTCTATCCCAAGATAGTTTTTTTTTTCATATTTTTTCTCCATATTGCAGGAATGGATAGCAAATTTTGAGAAACCTAAGGGCGACCCATCTGCATTTGTAAAACCCGCAACCACGGTGCTATCGCCATATTTGAAAGTGAGTTAAAAACGTTATGATTTATATTGGTTTTTAGCATCTCGAGTTACAAACAGATAATTTAGATTGGTTATTAGAATCTCTTATAATAAATGTGAGGGTTATAATATCGATACTAGAAATATCTGGCTGAATCCCACTCATGTACTAATGATTCTTTTATCATTTCTTCATTTTCCTTGCCAATTTCTGCAATTTGTTTGGCAGTTCGGCTGTCTCTCTTCGAGATACTTCTTCCAATGTCTTCAAGATGTTTATCGAAATGTGAAAAAGCACACATCACCACCAGTTTCACTTGTTGGCCAGGTCAGTTTTAACTTCATCGTCATATTTGATAGTGTTTGGCTTGCTGCAGATAGCACTAAACTAAGTCTAGCTTCAAACCATGGCAGTTGTTGTGGCGAGACTTCTTTTACACTGTGGCTTTTGGCACTCCTAACTTTGATCAGATGAAGGATAATAGAATATGCAAGCAGGTAAATATACTACACCAACACAAGACTCCTTATAGAACCATGTAAATTTCTCAGGGCTTCAACCAGAAACGATGTTACCGTCTTATTTTGGATCACGACTTTGTCAATTATTTTAAGTACTTCCAGTTGTTCCAAGCAGAAAAAGGAATTGTGCTTGCTCAATCAGTTATGACAAGTTTTCTACTCTGACCTGGAATTATGTAAACGAGAAACAAAGCTACAGCTGGTTTCATTGACTAGTAATATGAGAGGCTTTCTTATTTTATTCCCATTTCTGTGCATGTCGGAAGTCACACAAAAAAAAAGAATTTTTCATTGTTGCTTTGATTCGCTTCATTTCCACATTTATGGCCGTTCTTATCCCAACATGGGTTACCTATCATGGAGCCTTGGTGAAATAACTACATTGCAATATAGATACCTTGGAATGAAGATACTGAATTGCTGGCTGCATGGAGAGATGCTAGAACAGGATACCCTTGGATAGATGCTATCATGGTCCAGGTGAGATCTGTGGCTATACTAATAACTAATTTTTCAATTTATGGCCCTAGCTAAGTTTGCTGTTACTTTACGTATGTTTGAACTTAGATATATCTGATTGTGCAGCTTCGCAAGTGGGGTTGGATGCACCATCTAGCGCGACATTGTGTTGCATGTTTTCTAACTCGTGGAGATCTGGTATATGGCAAACATGACTTTTTTTTTTCTTTTTCATAGTTTCCTACTTAGTCGGCATGAATTCTCTCTGCTGCTAGTTCGTGCATTGGGAAAAAGGGCGTGATGTTTTTGAGCGGCTCTTGATTGATTCAGATTGGGCAATTAATAATGGAAATTGGCTGTGGCTATCATGTTCATCATTCTTTTATCAGGTATGAAGCATTTTTGCAGAAAAGTTTTCATGATAACATTTTCAACTTTTTCTTAAGCTCACTGGGTGCGTTTTGCTTGGAAATAACATTAATTGTTTATTGCAATTGAATGGCCTATAGCTAAAATTTCTAATATTAGAGATAGCTCTTTTGTTGACAGTATAATCGTATCTACTCGCCAATATCGTTTGGAAAGAAGTACGACCCAAATGGTAATTATATAAGGCATTTTCTCCCTGTATTGAAAGGTAAATGTTTGAGTTCTTATCAGACTATCTTATAATTTTCGGTCTGTGTACTTCTTTACGTCCTATTTATAGCCAAATGTTAATCATCAGACATGCCGAAGGAGTTTATATATGAGCCTTGGACAGCTCCACTAAGTGTTCAAACAAAAGCAAAGTGCATAATTGGAAGAGATTATCCAAAACCAGGTTAGTTATATAGCTGCACTCCTAATCTACTTATCTTTGCCTTTGTTGTTGCAATTTGACCCTTTCCTCTGGCCTATTTTTCACCCGCATTTTGGTTCGATGCTTTACTTCTTTCAGTGGTTTCTCATGATTCTGCTAGCAAAGAGTGTAAGAGAAAGTTGGCAGAGGCTTACGCATTGAACCAAAAATTGAATGGCCAGCTGACTGAAGAAGATTTGGGAAATTTAAAAAGAAAACTACAGCAAGATCAAGATCAAGAGCGCAAAATTACTAGACAGAAACAAAAGAAATAGATTATGTGAACTAATAAATGTTGTTTTAACTGCAAACCCTTTTGGCCGAAAAGCAGATATCCTGCATATTATCATTCTAAATTTTTGGGAGCTGAAATCTTCTCGTTCTTGACTCATAATTAACAAGAGGCATAGGAGTTGTGGAGGAATCAATTGTAGGTAACACACCTAGAGAAGTAGAGCGTAACGGTTTTGAGTGTTCCAGCAAAGTAAGCTTCCCGGGGATGACACTTGTGTTCTCACCCTCACTGGCCTTCTAACTTTGATCATACTGACCATTATTTTGTGTGCAAATGCTTAATTTGTGGTTGTTAGTAATCCTGTAGAATGGCATTCAGTGAGTTTGTTCATTAATTAGGTCAACAAGATTGTTGTTTACATAATTATTTATAATTAATGCCTAATCTTTTATAGCAAATGCAGTAAACTCTCCTGGGCTTATATGTAGAAGTGGTGTCTTGGTTCACATATTGGAGATTGGCGTTCAAGCAAATAATTCAAGTGCTGTGTTTTCTTGGAATTCCGTTAACTAAGCAAACGACATCTTCCCTCATCAAACTACACAAAAGACAAATGAACAGCACGTCAGCCATGAATCATGAAAGTAAGCAAGTTACTAAGATAACTTGTCTCTTCTACCCCAAAACAAGAATTCTTTCTATGTTTTCTTTTTTTATTTGGGCATAATTTGATTGTGGAATTGGACTTCACAGCCATCACCTTGAACAAATTTATGATTAAACGACAAATCACCCACAGCTAAATCTACGATCTCTAATTACTAATTAGGTATCAAACTTTATCAATCTAATAGTCAAAGTTTTACAGTGCTGAATAGAAATAGAGGAAAGAGCTCAAAAACTCGCCTTCATTTGAGTTTCAACTTTTCAATTTTTGGATTGAATTTTTGAATTAAGTTATAATTGTGTAATTTTAATTATTTTTTCAAATTAAATTAGACAATTGAAACGTATACATAAATGAAACAAACCGGTTAGGTTCACTTCGATTTTAACTGTTTTTGGTTAATAAAAACCAATCTGTACTAAAAAAAATTTTTGATTTTCTCTATTAAAATTGAAATATATGTAGTTATGTAAAATACCAAATCCAATTTAAGCAAATCAAGTTGATTTGATCCGGTGGTTGGAAAATCCAACTCAGTTTATCCTAACGATTATCGAGCCCAATTATTAGATTGAAGAAAAAGAATTATACTATTTGATTTTCATTTTTAAAAGAAAATAAAATCTAGGTTGGAAAAGTAAAACCCTCAAATTCCTCACGTACCGAGTCAATCCCCAAACCCCGTCGCCGCCCCTTCCCATTTTGTCCTTTTGCCAACTCATTTTCCCGTTTTCTCTGAAACAAAATTTCTAGCCTCCGAGTCTAAACACAGAAAAAGAAAAGAAGAATTTGTGTCACATACAGGGCGTGACCTCAGATCACAAGAGAACACAACAGTCCAAACTACCAAGACGACGACGATGTGGAGAAGAGCAGTTTCTTCACAGCTCAAAACCCTAGCCTCCTGCCGATCTGCCGCCGCCGCCGCCCGATTCGCATCTCCTAATCGGTCCATCATTTCCCCATCGCCTTCCGCTTCTCTCTTCCATCGCTATTTTAATGCCGACGCAGGTTCTCTCTCAGATCTTCACCTATAAATACATATATTTATGTGTTCATATTGTACTGTATATAGGATTTGGAATTTCTTTCATTTGTTGATTTGGTTTTGTGTTCTTTATATATCTGTGCCTTTGAAATTGATATAAGACTGGTTATTTGTTTTTGTAGATATGTAGCCAGGGGATATGGATATGATTGTCCATTTAGAAAGGTTTTTCACGGGAGATTTTTAGTCTTTTAGCTACTAATGTCGTGTCAAATTCAAATTGTTTGAAAATGATAATTATAAGCACACGCAGGTGAATATGTTTATAATATACAATTCGGTAGTGAGGGTTTTTCCCTGTTTGTGTATATGACCGTTTGAGACTGAATTGTGTTTGGAAATACCTACGGTGAACAATGCAGTTTCTATACATGTGTTTGTATGCTGGTTTTCACTTGTATATAATGAGTAAATAATTTTGGTCTTTGGTTTTGTAGCAAGTGGTTCCGTAGGGAAGAGGGTTGAGGATATAATGCCTATTGCTACTGGATCTGAGCGGGAGGAGCTTGAAGCTGAACTTCAGGTAGTTATTTTTGTTTTATGGGAAAATGAAATAAAGGAGAGGAAAAAGAAATGAAACAACTTGCCTTGCTTGGATTTTTTTTTTTTTTTAAGTTTCTTAGAAATGGAAGTTAAATGCAGCTACTGGTGGTAGTTTTAGTTGCATTTAATTGAATGGTTGGTTTGCTATTGACTAAATTAATTCAAACTATATTTTTCCTTTTCTCAGTTCTTACATCAACCAAATGATTTAATTACAAGATGCTGTTGATTACTAAGATATTATTCTGACTTTCTTGGTTTATTGTCAATAGGGAAAGGATATTCTTGAAATTAACCATCCTGTTGGTCCCTTCGGCACAAAGGTTAGTGGTTTACAATTCAAAAAAAAAAAAAGACTGACATTTTTTTTTTTTTTTTTTTTTTTTTTTTTTGGTAGCCTCTGATTACTCATTTTTTTTTTTTTTTTGGTAGCCTCTGATTACTGAGATTGCTTTCCACTAAGTGCTTTATGTGGTCATCTATGTGTCATAGTTGTCTTATAACTACTAGACCTTATTGTGGTTTAATTTTCTCCTTCTTTTGGTCTTGTGATGCATCTAACCAATAAACATAAGACATCCACATATGCCAACTGAGCCAAAGCTTGTCTTTTCCAATCTGAGTAACCAGTCCACTTGCTAATGATTATTTTTTCTGGAAGTTATGTATTGTATACTTCTAGTCAACAATTCCGCATGCTGATACGGTCTTGTCCTCTAGTAAATGAATTTTCTTATGTGTTCAGACTTTGTTGTTTCCAATTTTGTAGTGAATGAGCAATGAATTTCTCTCAATACCATGGTCATGTTTCAATCTAATAGTAATGAGAAAGAATCCTTTATTTGTTTTTTTTCTTTAATGGCTAGCTAATCTCTCCTTGATATTGTCTTCACAAAATGGTCCATTTTAAACACAAGTTTCTGGACAAGAATATCTTCTGCACAAAATAGAATATGGAATAATGCTTCTCCCTAATATTTTGTTTTGGGATTGGGTTTCTGTTTGCATTGTGTTTGTTTATTAGTTTTGATCATTACCTAGTGATATTTCATGGCACTATTCCTTTAGGGATAAGTTTCAATGCCTGGCAGTAACAAAGTTATCTCCAGGATTTATTGTGAATATCATCTAGAACAACTATTTTGAAATGTATCATTATTTTTTAATTTTCCATACTTTGCCTTCAGTTTGTATGTATCTTTTGCCTATAAATACAATACCTTTGAATATAAGTTTAATTTTTAATCTGTATGCATTTGCTGTATTTTTAGGAAGCACCGGCTGTTGTCAAGTCCTACTATGACAAGAGAATCGTCGGTTGTCCTGGAGGTGAAGGAGGTGTGTTTTCTTTGGTGCTCTTTAATTCTGCTTTTCTTTCTTTCTTTCTTTCTTTCTTCTTTTTTTTTTTTTTTTTTTTTTTTTTTTTTGGGGGGGGGGAGGGATGGTGATTGGTCTCACGCACACTTTTCACATTTCTTCTGGGGGGGGGGGGGGATGGTGATTGTGTCTCAGCACACTTTCAATTCTTCTGCTAGCCAAAGTAATTATGCATTACAAGGCAATCAATTTGACATGGTTTGCATGTTTTTGAGCTACAGAGGATGAACACGACGTCGTCTGGTTTTGGCTGGAGAAAGGCAAGCCTCATGAATGTCCAGTGTGCACTCAGTACTTTGTGGTATGTGGGAGATCAAAACTGAAACCGCTAGGAGTTTGTAGAATTTTATATGTTTATACATTTAGTTTGGTGTGACCTGAGTCTGATTTGAATAATGACAATTATGCCTAAATTTGAACATGCCGCATCTACACATGCAAATACACAGACAAATAATAAATTACCTGGAGGCGTTACCCCTAAGGTAATGTATATACATGGGGCATTGTGGATCTCTATGTCTTAGTCTGGGGAGGAATAAAGTTGTTTGCTGGATCATCCTTTGATCGAATTGTTGGGGAAATGGGGATGGTTTATAGCCACAATGGTTGGCCAATTGCTCATCACAATACGGTTTCACCAGATGCTTAATACAAATGGCATGAGCGACCAAAGAAAAATAAACTCATACAATAAATTACTTAACGATATTTATGTATTTGTGATCCATGTTTGATCAATGATAAGTATAGATATTCAATCAGTGGGACAAAATCAGATGCTTTGGGGTTAACCTTTCAGTTACTCTTGTAATAGTGTAATGCAAATACACCACATCATCTAAAAATCTTTGGCTTTCGCTGAACACGATGCAGTTTAATGTTTAAGCAAATCATCACTAAATACATTCGCTGAAAGATACATTGCTTTGGATGAATAGGCCAAGTGGCTATTGTATTCCTGAATGAAAACTTCTAGGTTGCATTCAGAATTGCGGATTTTCCTGATTATTTTATTGGTGAATAACAGCTGGAAGTAGTGGGCCCTGGTGGACCTCCAGACGGACATGGTGACGATGAAGATCATCACTGATTGCAGCTTTTCAATTTTTCCTTGAGGAATAAAATTTGGGAAGATGATGAGACAATTTCCAGTATACAGTGCAGCGTCAAAGTTCAAAAAGCTTAATGTCTTGTTTGTTTTTGATTGGTCCTTTAATGTTTATGGCTGTTGGTTTATCAGCAAAAATGGGATGATATCTTTTTTGTGGTAATGTAGACACAGATGTGGTCACCTGTTGGAACCATATGGATCTTGTTAGGTTTCCTTTTAATGCATTGCCAAATAATTGATGGCTACTCTTCTATTCTTTCACGAAACTTGTTTTTATTTTTAGCTTGAAAGGGAATCATAACTTTAAACTTGAATTTTCCATTTCACATTCTGGCGATGCAAACTATTTGGAATCCTGCCATGTGTTATTCTCTTGTCTTGTCACAGGCTTATCAAGGGCAAGGAGGGAGTGAGGAGTGGCATTGCAAAAGTGAGTTTTGAGGTGGTGGTGGTACTGGTCGTTATATTACCATTGACAGGATAATACTGTTGATATTGATGCAATGAAGCTGAACAGCCCGGAGTTCTCACAAGGGGATATTCTTTTTTTTTTTTTTTCCTTCAAGAATCCAACTTGTGTTGTATCATTTTATTCTTTTGTTTTTTTTTTTTTTTTTTTTTTTTTTTTTTTTTTTTTTTTTTTTTTTCTTTATCTTCACATTTTTCTCTTCTCAATTAGTTAGTTCTCTTCATTTTTTTTTTTTTTTATTCTATTTTTAGTATTAAGGAATTTTTTTTTTTTTTTTTTTTTTTTTTTTTTTTTTTTTTTTTTTTTTTTTTATTCTATTTTTAGTATTAAGGAACATTTCTGTAATGTTCTTTACCGCATTGTTCCATTGAGTGCATGATAGTATCAGCATGATCTAAAAATTATTAGGATGTATTGACAGCCAAAATTGCCTGGTTTAGAATTTAAGAAGTATTGGTCATGTAAGACACTACTGAGATTCGGACACGAACGAAATGTGTCGAATACGTTGTCATACGTGTTTGCATTATTCGACTTGCATGCACGCATATACAATTAATGAAAAAAATATAAGAGTATTTTTTTTTCACTTTATTTATATTTATGATAAATTTTCAAGAAAAACAGATTAATTCAAAGTTTAACAATTCATATTTATTTCCATTACAATCGTTACATGTGACATATTAAAAATTTTTATGTCTTCCAATCAAATACTGATCTAGAAAATCAAATTAGTAATTCAATAAAGGCAAAAGGTAAAATTTTAGTGAAATAAATATAAATTAATATAATTACATATAATTAAATGTAAAAAATTTTACACTAAATTATAAAAAATCAGCAGGACAAATGCTCCGATTGTAGAACCTCTCCTGGTTCCAATTGATTTCTAAATTCTTTTGTTAGTTTAATTGGACCCTATAGCACCATTTTTTTTTTTTTTTCTAAATTTGCAAGTTTTAGATTAGTGGAAATAGATTTCATTCTCAAGTAAAATTTTAAAATTTAATAACAAAGGTGAGAGATTAAAAATCTAAAAATCAGTAGCATCGGTATGACTTTACGTGAATCCCACATTTGCCGAGCTTAAGAAAAACATAAACACAAAATTCTTTAGAAAGAGAAGTGATAACATTGTTTTGGAAAATACATTTAGCAGGAAGAGATAATTAATAGTGAAAAAAAAAGGGACCGTGCAAAATCAGTAACTTGTGGAAGAATTTGGGAGAGAATAAAAAGGGAATTGATTCAAAATTCTTAAGAAATTGTAATGATTATTCCCTGGAAATAATAATAATGATGGAGAAACAAATACATGGAGATGGAGAAGAAACATTCATTTTTAATATATCTATAATATATATATATATAAAATTTTACTTATAATTAATATATATTTTTTTTTTCCTTTTCTGGTATGGAATCCACGTTTCCTCTATATTATTTCACGACTGTCCCAATCATCAGAATCCATAACATTTCCAATTTTCACTTTTCCATATCATTTTCTTGGCATTAACTTTACACACGGTATCATTATCGCTCTTCACATTTTTTCCTTTTTAAATCTCCCATGCAATGTTTGGATTCACTCTTGCTTTCATTAACGACCGCTCCAGAAAATTGGAGAAAAAGAGAAAAAAAAAAAAAGAAAGGACAAAGAACAACTCTTTGAGATATACTATATATTAGCATATTATAATATATAGTTATATTATACTATCTATATTATCATCTATCAAACAGATGAAGGTAAAGGAATCCTACCAAGTTTGCGTTTTCAATGTAATACACCCCCTATATATATCTATCAGATGAAGTAAGTGAATCCTACCAAGTTTGGTTTCAATGTATACATATATTCTGTTATGTTACTTTCGTATTATAAAGGAATATTAAGGCTGAAGGAAGCAAAATGCTTCGACTAATTATTTTTCATTAAACATAAGAAAATAGGAATGAATGAAGTTTTTTTATAAACATTTAGATCTTATTTTCCTAAATCACTTTTTTATTAAAATTTTTACATAATTAATTACGCATTTTAAAATAATTGTATCACTTTCAAATTAAAGAATTAATCAAAGAATCCAAGTTCGATCTAAAAAATACACTTTGCTGTTATGGTAAAAAAAACCTTTAAGCTTCTCGGTTTAAAAGTGATTACAGCTTTTGACTATATAAAAAAAAGAATTAGTAAAAGAATAAAAGAATTAACAATTAAATTAATACAATTATTCGAGAAGAAAAAACTCACCTGAAAATTAGATTAATTTTTTTTTTTTTGAATGTGTATAATTCTGTCTTTTTTTCTTAAAAATACCTTTCTTTTCTACATCAATGCATTGGCTGGCCACACTCTTTTTCTTTTTCTTCTTTTTCCCTATCTTTATGAAAAAGTTTTTTTTTTTTTTTTTTTTTTTTTTTTTTGGTAAGGAAAATCATAATTTGCGACTAAAAAAATTCACATTTAAATCTCACTTTATGATTATTTTTTTTTTTTTTTTTTTTTTTTTTTTGTAGGAAAATCATAATTTGGACTTAAAAATTCACATTTATTCACTTTATATTAGGAACAAGAGATTTAAACCAATTGGAGGAGCAGAACAAAATCTATGTCCGTACTCTTTCTCACAAAATCCCACCAAGTTATGCTTCAAGATTTCATCTTTTCCCCCTTTCAAAGAATACTTTCCACCCTGTAAATAATTCAAAATAGCTTTCCTAAATAAATAAACAAACAAAACCTAATTTTTCCCTAATCCAACAATATTTTTACTTCTTTAATTCACATTCACTAATTAGTTTATATTTCAATCAAATACTAATTAATTAAAATTCAAGAAATAGGGAATCCTAATAAGCTATTTTGGTTTGGTTCACAAATGTCTAGTCATTAAACTAGTTCCAAGTTATTTAATTATCACCTTGGCCATGCACTTTATTCACTAGTTTGAAATTAGAACCCTCATGTCTCCTATATATGGAGTTAATTATAAATTTAATTTATAATATTATTATTACATTTGGAAGCCAGCTTATGAGCAACTAATTAGTAATCTAGTTTTAAATACTTGAATAAAGTTTCCAACTTGTTGCATTAAGTAATCTTTCTTTTCTTTTATTATTTTTATTGAATTTACCCCTTGTAGAAATTGCCAACTTAGTAATTTATATTTCTGTTTTCCGCAATAACTTTTTAAGTAGCCAGTCAAAACAATAAATGGTATTTTTTTATAGTATTTTGTAACATAGCGTTTGAACTAACTTTCAGAGTTGTATGAAAAATTAATCAAATAGCTAGCTAAATGCTTCTAAAACTGCAAACAGCTGTCAAAACAGCTACTTTGGCCAAATAAACCCTAAATGAATGCACAATGAACTAGTGCCAACAGCATATGTTGTCTACTGTTAATTAATTGTAAGCCCACAAGTTTAAGTATAATAATCCCAATTTTTTGTAATTAATATTGATTCTTCCTCCCACATTGAGTGTGGGACAAGGAAGGAGTTGACAAACGTAAAAGTTGCCCTATTACTTTTTCCCTATATAGAAGGGGAAAATTGCCCATAATTAATCTAATATTTTTTGACCTACACAAAGGAAATCTGATACCATCATTTACTACAGTAACAAATCACATTCTGCCATGTCAGCAGTATTGTTCCAAGTGTCTAGTCAACCAGTTAATTAATTGTTTCTCAAAAGGAAAAAAAAAAAAATGTATTACTGGTTAATCAGTGGAGTCTGACTTTGTTCAATCCCATGTAGAGAAGCTATTATATAAACTGAGTGGGAAAGTAGCATATGTTTAAAGTTTAATAACCAAAGAGATAAGTTAATTAGGATAGAAATGTACAATTTTTTTCTTTGTTGATAAGAGTTTTAATTTAGGTTCAAAGCATAATAACCCTTTCCTTCTTGGTGGATCTTCCAATCTTAATTAGTGGAATTTGATATATAATAAATTTAGCTAATTAAAAGTATATTCAAACTCGATTTAAACTTTAAAATCGAGCTCGAATTTACACTCAGCTCATTTCCGCAGTTTATAGTTGAATAAAAAAAAATTATATATTTACAAGTTTAATCTTAATTCTGAATTTGACTCAACAAATTTATTGAAAATTTTTTTCTCAGCTAAGTTAAATCTTGAGTGAGTTGGCTTATTTCCAACTCGTAGGATCTGTTTTAGTAGCATATAACTGTTTGAGTAATTTTTCATAAAACGATAAAAGTTAAACATTAGAAGTAACACGCTACCTTAATATCGAAACGTTAATTCAAATGTTATGTTACCGAACATTATAAAAAACAACATTTAACAATTTGACTGATCAAAATCAAAATGTTAAAAACTATTTAAAAAGTTGTGGTAGAAAATATCTCTATAGTGAACAATTTTATGGGGGATGCATCTTGTAGGTGACCTAATGTGAGGGCTAGAGCTATTGACAATTTGACATCCACTCCAGTATTGTAGTGTATGGAAACATTTAAAAGTGGCTCCCATATCAAAACTTATCTTGCTCAAGATAGGATATGTGCTTGCTGCCTTTGGATTACAAAAATTTTAGCAACCAATCACCCTTAGATCAAGTCTTATTCCAATTTTTACTATTCTTAGGTGTTTGATGCTGAATTTAGATTGCAAAATGTGGTAGGTACAAGGAGAATTCTGCTTCTTAGTTAAAATTTTGGGTTTAATTAAATTAAACTCTTTGTGTACTAAGTGATATTGATTGAAATGACATCCAAAAAGAGATTCCTCAAGCATTTAACAAATAATATTATAAGAATGGAATGGAATGGAATGAAACCAAATTAGGTTCTAAAATACTTTTAGCAATTTGAGGGAAATTAAATTATATTTGTAAAATGCTTTTGCAAATTTTGCTAAAGTAACAATGGAATTCAATATTTATTAATCCATATCAAAGTTTAAAGTTCAACAAAGAAAGAAGTTAACCAATAAGTGATAGTCTAGTTAATCTTTTAACATGTGTGAAAAGTGAGAAGTCTCGAATATGACTCCTTTCATCTATAGTTGTTTTCACCAATTTAGTGAGTTAATTTCGGACTACACTTTATTATATAGCCTAAAATGTTATTTTAATTCATTGAATTTCATAAAATCATTCTGTTTACAGCGATGAAATGGTTGCATATAAGAAATTTTTTTTGGGAAAGAAAAAAAAGATAAAAAGGAAGAATATAAATTTCATTTGGTCACATTGATAATCATTTCATGGGAAGCTCGGTTTTGGAGTTATTGTGTGCTTACGGTGTCCCCAGCCTCATGAGTATAAACAAACAAAACTTTTACTGGTGGGGACTTAAGCTCAGCAACCAAACAAGTATAGTGGCAAGCAAAAAAGTAAGGGAGAGGATGGAAGGAGAGAAAAAAAGCTCTCATGCTTTTTCTCCTGTCCTTTTCTCATAAAAAAAAAATATATAATATATGTATTTAACATAAGAAAAGATTATCTTATCCATGGCAATGACCCAATAAATCTGAGATTTCATTTAAAATTCCAATTATATACATTCACAAACACTAGTCTTTGTATCATTTTAAAGGCTTTTCCAGTAAGAAAAAAAAAAAATCTAAACTATTAATTTAAAATGAGGAAAACAGTAAAGTATGTAAGAAAATGAAAGTTGAGTTCTATAAGATAATAATAAAACCAACGATATAAAATATAAATAATATAAAAATATGAATATTAAAATAAATGTGTGACTTACAGGATTTAACAATACTAAAAGTACAATATGTATTAAAGTAAAAAGGACTCGAGTCCCTTAAAACATATATATTTTTTAATCTCGTGAATATGTGTTTATTTATCATCTTTCTGTATATATTATGCCAGTCCTGTTTTTGTTTTAGGAGGATTAAAATGAATTTCTTTTAAAGAACGGTGGTAAGAAGAATATTTATATAATTAATAAAAAAAAATACTTAAATTATATATAATATTAAAAATTTCACTTGAAATTCAATTTTGGAAATTATTCGTTTACCAACTTTAAAGAAAAAGAAAAAAATAAAAAAGAAAAACAAAACCCTGCTAAAACCCTAGTTCTTGTTATTTTCCTACTGTCCATGAGTACATCCATCACATCAGATTTTGCTTATTTGTTTGCTTGTGAATGTTAAAATTGGAGGCTTGAAACTTATTTTGGCTTTGTAGTTAAGGGGTATCTGTCAATCATGAGAAATTCTTAAACAAATGATTGAAGAAAAGATATTTTCATACACAGACTCTGTATTGTTCTTTCTAGTTTTCAGTAATATTCTCGAGAGCTGTCTTTGATTGTTGTTTTTGTTGTTGATAGTTGGGATTTTGCTTTATTTTCTTTTTCTGCCACTGCCCACAAGCATAGATTCTCTCTATGTTGCATATCTCAGACCCTGCTATCTTTCCTAGCTGGGTGGCTCAAGAATGGATGATTGTGCTCTTTTCTGCTTTGATTCTCTCTGTTCTTGAAAAGATTTTCTGCTTTTTTTTGTCCTTGTCTTTTTTACCCTCTGCTTTTGATGGATGCTTCTTCCTTTTTGAGTTTTTGTTTGGTTTTAGTCACCCATATATAGCTGGTGTACACACTATATATTAATTACTAGTGAAGGATATGCAAATTCACCTGCTTTATTCCTTTTTCACACTATAAATAGATACTATCTTTCTGGGTTTTCTTCATTGCAGCAGCTTAGCTCCTCTTCACTCATTTATTGCCATAGGTGGAGTGTTTAGTTCCTTCACCAAAATGAGCTACCAACAACATCCTTCTATGGGTTCTGGTTTGTTTCTTTTCAAACTTTTTTATGGTCTTTCTTATGGATTGCTGTTATTAATTATAAACATCTTTTAGTGGGTCTTAATTAGTTGTTTTCTGTATTTCAATTTAAACAATCTAACAAAATGAATTTTCTTTTCCCTCCTCCGACCATTTCAAGTGACTTCTGTTCATATACGAGATATAACTCTTAATATAATTTGAAAAATGACTTTATTGCTCCAATTTTTAGGTAGTAGAACTGTCAGAAGAACTTTTGAGTTTGGAAGGACTTATGTGGTGAGGCCTAAGGGGAAACATCAAGCCACTATAGTCTGGTTACACGGTCTTGGTGACAATGGGTCAAGGTATTGCAGCTATTTGTTTTATGCGTAATTTTCGTTTATTGCATAGCTCTTGTTCATCCAAATCTTTGTTTTAGATTCCAAATCTCTTCCTGTATGGAAGTAAAGCAAAAAATTTTCTTCTTTACATTTGAATTGAGTTGCATATAATTTGTTCTTTATAATGAAATACATATAATTGGAGTATTTTGACCAAACTTCTGGTAATTGTTTCTGCAACTTCATCTGATAAACAGTGTAATTGGGCTAGTGGAAACTGAATGAATAATGTAACTCTGTGAACTTCATCTGATAAACAGTGTAATTGGGCTAGTGGAAACTGAATGAATAATGTAACTCTGTGAACTTCATCTGATAAACAGTGTAATTGGGCTAGTGGAAACTGAATGAATAATGTAACTCTGTGAACTTCATCTGATAAACAGTGTAATTGGGCGTATTTAAAGATTCCCAAAAAATCTCTTCTGTTCATGGAAGATTAAAAGCAAAAAATGTTTCTTCTTTAACAATTATGATTGAAGATTATTGCATTATAATTTGTTCTTTTAAATGAAATACAATATAGAGTTGGCAGCTGATTTTGGAACCACAAAACCTTAGCTGGCTAATATGTTTTGCAACATTCAGTACTAGATAACAAGTCGGTAACATTGGGCTAGTGGAAACACTGAAACTTCATCTGATAAACAGTGTAATTGGGCTAGTGGAAACTGAATGAATAATGTAACTCTGTGAACTTCATCTGATAAACAGTGTAATTGGGCTAGTGGGAACCAAAAGATTAATGTCGGCTTCTGATATTTGTTCATAAACTTGCCAATTTTATTCTCTTCCTTTTGTACTAAGTACAAATTCTTGGGTTGGAATGGTGGACTTCTGGATCCAAGGAGAAGAAAAAGGGAAAGGATTTGCAAAATGTCAACACATTAGCATGTTCTTTATTGGAGGGGGTCCATGCAATGTCTTCTTTTTTCTTTTCTGTTTTTTTTTTTTTTTTTTTTTTTTCTTTTCTGTTTTGTTTTTTTTATTATATTTTTTTTGCGTCGTCTTATTGCTCCCTTCTTTTTTTATGGTTGAAGCACTCCTTTCAACTGAGGATTGGATGCATTGGAATCAATCTAATGGGAAATAAGCGGCTAATAAACATGGAAATGAATAAAATATAATAGAAGTTTATTCATGAATATTGGCTTTACTAAGGAATGCAAAAAGTTGTTCAATTTCGAATAGATCTTTCACTGTGATGGAGTTAATATGCACATAATTTCACGAATAGAGGATCATAGTTCACTATAAATTCTGCAAGAATGAAACAATCATACTGCATGGGTGCTTGTGAGGAAATGAATATTAAGTGAAGTAATATATACAGACTAAATTATGGATTATCTCTAAACACATCTTTGATATTTTTCTTCTAGAAGTCACTAATAAGATAGATAATAGCAAGTGTTAATGCAAAACGAGCATTTTTTACGTGGATAATTGGTTTTGGCATTATTAGGAATGCTGCATTTTGGCATAAATTACTAAGAGTTCCCAAATATTTTTGTGAAAGATAATATTGGTTTGTTACAACCTTACAGCGCATCCATACTGGCATGGAATTCGGCATGTTTGTCAGATAAGAGTACAAGTGTTTATAGTGCTGCGGTTTATTGATTAATGTTGAGAAAATATAAGCTTCAAGTTCCTTGACATGTATATCTTCATTCACTAAAAAAAGTCCTCTGGTTGGTATGGGCAGCGCTGGTCCCCAGCTCTGGCAAAGCCATTCCTGCTTAACCAAGATGTAAGGGAATGCAAGAACTCCAATTGTTTATCTAATCTTAGGTGCATATTGTATATGACTATCAATCCCAAGGGTGCAGGAGCTGCTGTTGATGTTCTTGTTTTCTTCTATAGATTTTTAGGGTGCTTCTGTTCAAGATCTATGAATGCAAGATTAAATGGATTTGCCCAACTGCTCCTACTCGTACCTGTGGGACTTGCTTGGTGATTTCCTTGCACTAGGCGAATGTAAGACTGGGCTATTCCATTCATCATAAGGGAGCTTAATAATAACAAATCACATATTTCACTTGCTGCTTGTTCCTGAATAAGGAATGCACATAAAATGCTTGATATAAAATGCAGGGTTTATAGAATGTGGGTGAAGATCATGCAAGAGAAATAGTCCCAGATGAAACTGGGAGGTTTAGATTGACCCTCAGAAGGCAAGCAAATATTAGAAAATATTACTTAATTCCAAACAAGAGCCACTGATGGGTACATATTGCAGATTAAATGGATTTGCCCAACTGCTCCTACTCGTCCTGTGGCACTGCTTGGTGGATTTCCTTGCACTGCATGTGAGACTGCTTTCCATTACCTCTGCTTACTAATACAATACATTTTCACTGCTCTTGTCCTGATAGGAATCACATAAAATGCTTGTATAAATGCAGGGTTTGATGTGGGTGAGATCTCAGAGAATAGTCCAGATGACTGGGAAGGTTTAGATGCCTCAGCAGCACATATTGCAAATTTACTTTCAACAGAGCCTACTGATGGTACTTTCAAGGCTCAACTTTTTCCAAACACTTTATCACTTGCAATAATTTTCCCCTGTTGTTAGATTTTATTTTGTATATTTATTGCACCATAAATGTTAAGGGATAATTAACTTTCAATTCACAAGTATCAAATTATTTTTTTTAGTCATTACCAGTTTATAATTAGGGACTGAAGTTTAATTTTTGATATGAGCTTCTAGAGTTATCTAGTTTATGCGAGACATAAATATCTGTAGTTAGCTATTGGCTTAAAGAGTTATCTAGTTTATGCGAGACATAAATATCTGACCATATCAACTGATTAAATAAGTGGAAACTTAACGCATCTTATAATTTTTTAACAGTTAAAGTTGGTATTGGAGGCTTCAGCATGGGTGCTGCAACAGCAATTTACTCTGCAACTTGTGCGGCTATGGGACGATATGGAAATGGCAATTTGTACCCTATCAACCTCAGGGCTGTTGTTGCACTAAGTGGCTGGCTTCCAGGTTCAAGGTATGACCTTGTCAAGCTTTCCTTCTTTATACTTGCTTGAAACATGTTAGTCTCAGAAGTTTTGTAAATCACATGTCAATTTCAGAAATCACTGTGACTTGATGACAATAAAAGTATCCCTTGATGGCTTTCACCAGCGATTTCTTTATCGGTTAAGCTAAATAAATATTAATGATAACAAATGCCAATATCTTGTTACCATGCAGGAACTTAAGGAACAAAATAGAAGGATCACACGATGCTGCAAGACGTGCTGCATCATTGCCAATTTTGCTTTGTCATGGAACATGTACGTGTCTCTAAAATTTTTCTTCAATTGTTTTTTTCAGAGAATTGTAAATAAGACACAGACCATATTTATAATATAACGGGCAGAAGCACTTAAAATTCTGGATGATAATTTATTAAGTTCATCCCGTGCCCTTCTTGCGTAACAGTATCGTCTTAATGCCTCACAGTTCATGGCGGCTTGACTATTCATCGAGTCCTCTGGTGATCCAGATACTATGAATAATCTTTAAGCTGAGTTGAACAATATGGATTGAATGGTATTACAATATAGAGGAAATGCCTGATCATATTTTCACCACCAATTAAGGATCTGATCATTAATCAACATTAGGAAGGATTATGTTGATTCAGCCCCAATATCTGCTTTATATAACCTCCTTGGAGAGTGCAACTGCCTAGAAATTGACCCTATGCTTTCACCTTGGTGAACCAATTAGTTCTGTTAATTTTATTAAAGACAATTCACAACATATGACTTGCCAGCTAAGCAGCATTACACTCTGTAGGATATGCAACTTTGATTCTAGTTCAGTCTTTATGCGATATATAACACTCTTATTAACCTGATGCAGGTGATGATGTAGTTCCTTATAACTATGGAGAGAGATCTGCCCACTTCTTAAATACAGCAGGCTTTCGACATCTCACATTCAAACCATATGATGGGTAAATTCAGCTGCTTCTTAAATCAGAATTTAACTAATGATTGCGAAAATGTTAAAGCAATTTCCATGTGTCTTTGTCTATGCAGACTTGGGCATTACACAGTTCCTAGAGAAATGGACGAGGTTCGTAATTGGCTCACAGCAAAACTGGGCCTTGAGGGATCGCGCTCATAATCAGATCACAGAATCAACTTGTAGTCAGAGCTAGTAAGGAGTAAGAACAGGGAATAATAACATGGAAAGGGAAAGAAACGGATTTGTACAAGTAGGTAGTACATAGTATGGGTATATGGTATAGATAAATTAACTTTCCTAATTCCCTTTTAGCTTCTTTCCTGTCCTGAAAAATAAAGCTTTGGATGTGATTTTATTTATTTGGCTGTTAGAATTTAGCAGTAGAGATTCTAGTCAATTCTGCTCGTGGAGCATTTTGTATTACTTTAATGTTCAATCGACTAGTTTTGTTCAGCATCACTCTCTGTCTCTGTACATAGAGTGCAAGTTGGGTTGCCTTCAAATTCCGAGATATCAATTAAAAATTGCTCTTCAAGCCAGGCAGCCTGCTTGGAATACAAAACAAGTCTTAAGGACGGTGCTTACTCTAGAAATTCCCAAAATATGGCCTGAACCTCTCTTGTTGAAGTTTACTGGCATCGAAAAGTTAAATGCAAAAAAGAAAAGGAAAGCGTTTGGATTTGGCCATCATACTTGATTTTGTTATGATTTTTATTAAAAAAGATGGACAGAGTGAGAACTAGAGAGAAGAAACAGCACTAATGTGCTGCATTCATTCGTATATACTGTTCACAATAACTAGTACCGGTGTAGAGCAACTAACAGAGAGAATAATATTTTCCATGTTTACAGCGCGATCAACAGGAACTGCAAATTGCTTGAAACTATAAACTCTGAACTGCAATTGGTAATTAAATTACATATGCACTCTCACTGAACTGCCAACATCTTTAACCTAACCCTGTACTGGTAAAAAAAGGCCAAAATTTTGCAGCATTGCTGGAAGTAATGCTTCCAAGATATCCTGGAGATAATGACAGGCTCTATCAGCAGTTTCTTGGAATATATCCTGGGAAAAGCAGCATGCAACTCGCTGCCTGTCTGCCTTCAACAAAATAGGCCCAGAATCTGCGAAAAATGCAATGCAATTCCAAATAATTGAAACTATCTTAGACCACTCATGGACAGCTGGCATTATCTTGATTATCACCATCTGTTTGTTGGTTTTCATCTTTTAACTTGCTATATGGAGTTAGAGGAGGGAAAGATGGCACAGCTGGCAAAATGAATTTGCGCCCACTTTGCAATCCCTGTGAAGAGCTTGATCTTAACTCTTGTGATCGATTTTGTGGAGGAGAAACCCGTTTCTGATTTGGCGAAGTAACTTTCACTGCCTTTGTTGGGGTAAAAGTGTACTTGAGCGCCTCAGGTGTGTCATCCTCCTTCAATATGTTATAGAAAAGGCTGTCTGAACTTATCTCAGTCAGGGCCTCGGTTCCATATGACTTTGGTGTAAGACTGGACGGTGAATGATGACAATGAAGGTAAACAGCTGATGACTGGGGTGTGCTTCCCTGACGTGCTTGAGTTTGAGAAGCCTTCGAACCATCACCTATATTCAGAAAAGCTGAAGTAGCCACTGCTCCTAAGTGATGATGCAACATTGGAGTCATATGGCTCATACCAGCTAGTTCTTCCCATGTTGAAGAGACCTGATGAGCTCTCCCAGCTTTAACAAAACCATCAGGACTCTCCAAAGTTTCCAACTGCTCATGAGATATATTCTCCCATTTTTCAGCACTTCTGTATATTGATTCTGCATTATCATCATCATGGAAAGTGAGTTTGCTTTCAACTTTCAAGGACAAAAAACATTTAGCTTTCAACCTTAGAGATGAAGAAAAATTATTTAGCTTCCAACTGAGAGCTTTTCAACAGATAACCAACTTAACATGCAACTTTGAGGTTCACAGGCTTCAAATGTGTTCAGAGAAAAATCTTATATACTACATATCTGATGGCTAGAAAAATTACTTCGTAGATAATAAGCTTACTTTAGCTAAATAAATACCACGAGTGAATTCTCACCTGTCTTTTTGCCAAAGGAATTATTACAACCTTCACACCGGCATCCACTGGAGCATCCAACTTTAGCCTTGAAATAGGGCAGAATGTTCATAGTCAGAAATGGTAAAAGATAAATTTTATTGCCTCTCTATCCCTAACTCACATATGAAATGATAAGGTTCATTGCTTTTCTATCTTGATGAAGAAAAAGTAATAATTATCAAAATATTGGTCAGTCATTAGAAATTTATAGCAATGCAGTCAATAAAAAAACTGCACATTTTAGGAATTCTCACAGCAATATTGCTAATAATCTTTACAAACCTGATAACATTCGCAATATTTTTTAAGACACTTTGATTTCTTGCAATTACATCCTCTTTTGTGCCTGGCTGATGAAGGTGTCGTCCAGTTCCCATCCTCCTGTATATTATTCTCATCTTAATAATACTAGTAATTAAGGCCAAAGAACAAGATGAATATCTTAAGGAAGGGAGATTACCAGCAAGTTTGCTGGAGAATTCATGCCAGGTATAACAACTTTTGGAGCAAAGGCAAGTGGATTACGGGCTTGAATTTGTTGTCGTGTATCAAGAACTGTGTCCTCATATTCGGGCCTGTTGAAGCAGTTTTCACATGTGCAACTGCGTACACAATAAACTCCAGCTGCAAAGCACTCACAATAACTGCATAAATACAAAAATCACATATAATGCATGGTGCAAAAATAACAGGGAGTTGGGATCTGCTATTTTCAAAATCACTGTTTCATCAGGTGATATTGAATGTATGTTTTCCTTTTTCATTGGGAAGGTTTATCTGGCTGCCAAATTGCTTTTCTATGTTATCTGAAAGAAATTACTGATAAAAATGCAACGGTTGAAGGGATTTTTTAATTCTGAACATATTTAGACAATAAGGGGACAAGCATAAATAATGGGACAAGCACAATTCAGAGAACTCTCAAACTTATTTGTAGCAGTATATCCGATATTATTGAGCAGTGGCAGTTTCTACCATAGACCAAATACCCCAGAGCATACGCTATTTTGAGCAAATAATAACTATTAAGAAGATCTTCAAGGTCTTTAATGTTCTCGATGCATGACAATATTTACTTACAGTTTCAAGCATTTTGACCTCTTACAGTTGCAACGTCGGCAACCCTCACTGTCATCGACGGGCTTTGTTCTTTTTCTAGAAATATAGCAAACCATTGTAGTGAGTACACAAATAGAAAGGTCAGAATTGATTAATATCAAAATTTTTGAATCAGAGGAACTAAATGTTGACTTGCCTACTTTGTTTGGGGCTCGCTTGGTATAACTCTTCAACCATGTCAGTATTTTGTGAAGTGATCATCCTTCCCTCATATGGAACTACCTGCTGCTGTTCATATGATGCCAACAGAGAGAAACACATTAAAGTTCCATTTCTATAGAATTAATAGTGTAAGTTGCAGAACCTACTGTTGCAGCAGCTTGATTCTCCTGATGATCATCGTCCATACAAGCATGGATTTCCCCAGAAACAGATGAGATTGAAATACTAGCCAAGTCGTTTGCTGAAGTATGGGTCCTATTAGGCATTTGCTTCTCCTCTTGTGCATGCAGATTACAAGCCAATATCATGCTTGTCTTTGAATCTGATCCCACAGACCCAGATATTGTGAAACTACTTGAAGGCAAACCTAAAACAGATGGAGTACAAGCTGCAGACATATCATGGTTTACACAATTTTGAGCTGATCTTAAAGATTGAGATGGGCAGAAGGAGGACAGGAAAGTTATAGCCTGCGCATGACTGCCTGCCAGCCAACTGCCGAAGATCCCACTTGGTTCAATTTGATGTGGAACTAGACTCTCAAAGTTCGGGACGTGTTCAGGTAAGCTTAAATTGGCATTATCATGAGCGTCATTGTCAGTGTGCTTGCAGGGTATGGTGACCCCAAATTGAAGATGGCGTCTTATACCACGTTGATGCTGATCAGCCTCCTATACATTTGGATATAAAGATTACTCTTTTGCAAGAAGCAGTGAAAAATTAAAAAATCAAGTTTCTAGTTTTCCATGCTTCTCTTGTATAGAAAATTACGAGGAAAGCTACTCTTTGACAATATTATTTCCTAAGATAGAAAAATAACATAAAGAAATGCATATTACATTGCAAAACAGTTGAGATCATTTGCCCAACTCCATAGAATTTTTTCCGTTATTGGTGCAACAGAGTGAATTAGAACTTGAGTCTAACATCAATATAAAAGTGTTATAAATTTTTATTATAGACCATTCGAAACAAGGGTATTATGATCCAAACAATGACGAATCAGAATCACAAAAAAGCTATAATTTTTACCTTAGAAGATCCTCTTGGAACTGATCTTGAACTCTCAGCAGAATTCTTATATGCCTGAACACTCTGCAAGGGTTGATGAAACGACAGATAATTACCACTATCTTTACTATCTTGACCATCTGCAGCCTGCAACTCAGTATTCCGAGAAACTCACAATATAATTAATCAATTCAATAATGCATAATTCAACAAAATTCATACAGTAACACATCAATTTAATTGTATGGAAATCAAAATCTATGCATTTATTCACCTGAACTGCAAACTGCTCATGATGTTGTGCTCCAGAAAAAGGGACTAGAAACATATTGGAGTTGTCATGATCATCGTTTTTGATAGTAGTATCTTCATGACTTGTGAAACCAGTCTCTAAGATCTTAGGCCTATCATTGTGTGGTTGTGCCTGCAGACTAGTTGAATTTGTATTTTCTTCCATCTCAGCAGGATCAGCTAAATATTCAGAAGGACTGACTAACTGGTCTTCCTTTTGATAGCAGTGAATCAGCTGAGATTTCAAATGGGTATCATCACCATGTACATAAACATCAGAATCTGCTAGATCTATCTCCTCTCTGTCAATGTCAAACTTTTAGTTGAAAGAAACCAGATCTACTTACTAATATCAAACTCTTCAATTATTTTCTCAAACCTTTTAATGAAACTTGTTTGCCGATGTTGACCTACACGGGGTGATGTGAACACAGGTTGAGGAATAGAGAAGTTAGTTTGTGAAAACCTTTGTACATATCTTGCTCCCTTAACTGACTTTATAGGAGACAGATTTGTAAGGTAATTGAATAAAGCAGATTCCTACGAATTCAAAGAACAAAAATCACACAACACTCAATTGAATCAATGAAAAATTTTATCATTACCATCAAATTTACATTTCCACCTCAGAAATATAGCAAATTTTCTCAGTCAGACCGTGCAGATGAAGATATCTGATCAAATATACAGTCAACTGTACTAACCAAACAACAAGCAAACAGAAAATAAATTTATTAATTCAATTCTATCAATATAAAAGCTTAATCATTGCAATCAAATTTCCATTTCCATTTGAGAATTATATAAATTACTTCAGAATTATAATCGATTTTCTCAGATAACAAACACATACGGACGAAGACGATCTGATAAAATATACAATCAAATTGTACTAACCAAACAACAAACAAACACAAAACAAAATTAGAATTCAATTCAATCAACATGAAAGCTCCGTCATTACGATCAGTTTTCCATTTCCACTTCAGAATTATATAAATTTTAAACCTTTTCAGTGACCTCAGTGAGCCAGTGACCAAACACATACAAATAAATAGAAGATGTTCTGATAAAATCATATTAACCAAACAACAAACAGGAACAACAAAATTATATTCCAAAACAGAACATGTTCATTAAAGTCATCAAATGTTAAGTGTACGAGGTTGTGGAAACCCGGACACTTACTTGAACCGTCGGAGATGATGACGAGGCAGGCGGTATGCGATTCTCTTTAGGAGAGTCCATGTTTGAGAAAGCTAAAGGTGCTAGGGTTTGCTTCTACCAACAACAACATCGGAGAAATGGATAGAGAGATGAAGTTTCGAAGGAGAAGATATTGGGTCCTAATTCCCTTCATAAATGGTGCTTTTAGTTAAGAAGCATGTTCTTTTAAACCTCATATGGAGCGGGAAGGTTGCAGGTTATTTATTTATTTACTTGTTTTTATTATTTTATCTTTATCTTGCCTTCTATTTTCTGGGCCTAATGGGCTGATCCGATAGCCCATTGGGCTGAAACGAAAGCCGGAAGAAAATCTAATTACCGTTACAGGACAGATTGTCTGGTAGTTAACCCTAACAATGAATAAACCCTGGCAAAGCCCTCACCTTTCTGCTATATACTTCTACCCATAAACTAAAGTTTGGAGCGTTACACCATAGAAAAACCTCTTTACCTAATTTTTCATTTGCTCTTTCTTTCTTTCACTTTCTCGGAATCCAAACGTAGTGCCATAGAGGGTGTACTATTGTGTGGTTTGTTAAAAATGAATTATAGATTTCAGAATTTGCTAGGAGCTCCTTACAGAGGTGGAAACGCTGTAATCACTCAAAATACCCAATTAATCTCACCGGTTGGTAATCGTGTTTCCATCACCGACCTCGTAAAGTCGCAAACCATAACTCTCCCTGTACAGTCATCCTCCAATATCCGCCGTCTTGCCGTCTCCCCTGATGGGACCTTTTTACTTACTGTCGACGAGAACAACCGATGCCACTTTATCAATATTCCTCGCCGTGCGGTTCTCCACCGTATAACTTTCAAAAAAACTGTCAATGCTCTCAGATTCAGCCCCGACGGCAAGTACATTGCGGTTGCAGCCGGAAAATTGGTCCAAATATGGCGGTCTCCGGGGTTCAAAAGGGAATATTTTGCTTTCGAGTTGGTTAGGACTCTTGCGGACTGTGAGGATACAGTTACGGCTTTGGATTGGAGCTTAGATTGTAAGTATCTGTTAGTGGGATCGAAGGATTTGACGGCAAGACTTTTTTGCGTTAAGAAATTGCAAGGGATTTTGAACAAGCCATTTTTGTTTTTAGGGCATAGAGATGCAGTTGTTGGTTGTTTCTTTGGTTATGATAAGAAAACAAATAATGTTAATAAGATATATACAATTGCTCGTGATGGATACATTTTTAGTTGGAGCTACAGTGGCACTGATGGTAAATTAAATGAAGATGATGAGCAAGATTCAAAGCCTTCCTCATCAGGAACACCAGAGCAGGATGGTGAAAGAAATTTGGATGGTGCAAATGGGATTGATGTGAAGAAAAGAAAGGAATTTGAGGGGAAAGATGCTAATTCGGATCTAAACAGTTATTTGCATAAAGGGAAGTGGGAGCTGTTAAGGAAAGATGGGTTTATGCAATCTCAAACAAAATTGACTGCCTGTGATTACCATAGGTTGCTTGATATGGTGGTAGTGGGATTTTCTAACGGTGTTTTTGGCTTATACCAAATGCCAGATTTTATTTGCATTCATTTGATGTCAATTTCAAGGGAAAAGATCACCACTGCAGTATTTAATGAGACTGGGAATTGGCTAACATTTGGTTGTGCAAAGTTGGGGCAATTGCTTGTTTGGGAATGGCGATCAGAAAGTTATATATTGAAACAACAAGGGCATTACTTTGATGTGAATTGCTTGGCTTACTCTCCAGATTCACAGTTGTTGGCTACTGGGGCAGATGATAACAAAGTGAAGGTAAAATGGGAATTTGGTACTTTTTTTAATGATTTGTGGAAATTATGGTTATTTGGTTGATGCATGTTGCTTATGTTCGATGATTTATTGAAATGCTCAAAGTGGTTGTATTGTTAGGGATTCTTCTGTGCTGTTTAACCTGTTGCATGCTTCCCTTGTGCAAAAGAAACAAATGCACATATTTCAGTTGGCTCAACAAATATTATTGTGTTAAAGGTTCCTCTATATTTTAATGTAAGTATGCATAGTTGGTAGATACCTGTTTCTGTTATGGATATTATGTTGAGTTGATTCTCCAGCTGCTTAAACAGTATATAGAAGGGTTTTGCACTTCTTTGTAATGTGCACTTTAGCTGCTGGACACTGAAATTTTCATTTTCTATGGACTCATGGTTCTGCGCACTTTCTTTTTCTATGGACACTGAAATTTTCATATTCTATGGACTCATGGTTCTGCACTCTTCGCCATTTATTTTTAAACCATAAGCAGTTACGACGGCAATTCTGGCCTTTTTAAGGTCATAACAATCCAATTTGGTGTTTCTTGTCTGTATTGTGGCTTTGCCTTTGGTCTATGTGAAGTTATACCATTATGCATTATGTTGGAAATTGTGATTTAGGAGATAATATGCAAATAAATATCATGAAAGTTCCTTTCTGATTCTTATATTTTGTTATCTGTTGCAGGTATGGACTGTTTCCTCAGGCTTTTGCTTTGTAACATTCTCAGAGCACACAAATGCAGTTACTGCACTCCAATTTATGGCTAATAACCATTCTCTGTTGAGTGCATCTTTGGATGGGACAGTTCGTGCTTGGGATTTATTTCGATATCGAAATTTTAGGACATTTACCACCCCCTCTTCAAGACAATTTGTTTCATTGGCTGCTGATCAAAGCGGTGAAGTAATATGTGCAGGAACTTTAGATTCTTTTGAGGTGCTTTTCTTATGCCCATTGTTGAATTTGAAACCAACATTCTCTCTTTGATTTCTTATCCTGACATTTTGCTTAATTTCCATATGTTTAGATATTTGTTTGGTCAATGAAGACTGGCCGATTGTTGGATGTTCTTAGTGGTCATGAAGGTCCTGTGCATGGATTGACATTTTCTCCTACGAATGTGAGTTGTGTCTGGACATTGCTCGTGTTCTATTGTTTTCCATGTTCTAATTCATTATATTAATTGTAATTTATTCTACTCATAATCATCATCTGAAGTAAATTTTTTGCATGAACTTTTATCAGTTAAACCCTCTTCTTTTATTTTACTTAATTATGATGCTTATTCATGGATATACTTAGTAGCACCAATCAAGCAAATGAATGCATTTTTTAGGTTTCACAACTCAAGTTTTTGTTGACAATTGATTCGCGGAACTAATAGACTGCCCTGTGTTGTCTATAGGCCATATTAGCATCATCATCATGGGACAAAACTGTTCGTTTATGGGACGTATTTGAAGGAAAAGGTGCTGTTGAAACATTCACTCATACGCATGATGTTCTTACGGTGGTTTATCGCCCAGATGGAAGGCAATTGGCTTGCAGCACATTAGATGGGCAGATTCATTTCTGGGACCCTATCAATGGCTTGTTAATGTTCACCATTGAGGGCCGTAGGGATATTGCTGGGGGGCGCCTCATGACTGATCGTAGATCAGCAGCAAATTCAACTGCAGGAAAGTGCTTCACAACTTTATGCTATTCTGCTGATGGGAGTTACATACTAGCTGGTGGAAGTAGCAAATACATATGTATGTATGACATTGCTGATCAGGTTTGTTCACTTACTCATGCCTACACTTTCACGTTATATATATACACATATGTATTTTCTTTTTTATTATTAAAATCATTCATTGTTGACCTGACCTGTATATCATATGTAAAGATAGTTATTGGAGAAAATTAGACTATATAATTTGGATAGAGCTAGGTGCAATTCGGTTAAACATGTCAAACCGAACCAACTGGTTCAGTTCAGCTTGCTTTTTAAACTCTTGGATTAAGTTTTGTTTTTTGTAGGAAAAAGCCAAAAATAATATCGTTTGGCTTGGTTCTTAAAAATCTTTGAAAAATCAATGGAAAAATGAAAGATGAACAAACTGGTTCTGTAAACAATTTTGGTTCAGTCTGATTCCTATTAAAAAAAATTGATTATTCGGTTTGCCTTGGTTTGATCTGAACCGAAGTGTCCAAGTTCCCACCCCTAAATTTGGATGAGACTCTTTCTTTGAGGTAGTGAGATCATGAAAATCTAAATAATGTTGGAAATGTGTCAATATTCGGAAACTGGTTTTTAGTACTGGTTTCATTTTTGGATGTTACTAAATGATAATCTAATATATATCTATGCATTGATTATTGTTCTTTACTGTTCCTAAATATGTTGATGCTATTTAATAATCATCCATCCACCAAAATTTGTTGGGTAGCATTTTGAACTATAAAACTCCATAACCATTGCTTTTTCTAACCATTGTCAAAATGTGCAAGATCTGTGTGAATTTCGGAAACTGGTTTTTAGTACTCGTTTCATTTTTGTATGTTACTAAATGATAATCTAATATATATCTATGCATTGATTATTGTTCTTTACTGTTCTAAATATGTTGATGCTATTTAATAATCATCCATCCACCAAAATTTGTTGGGTAGCATTTTGAACTATAAAACTCCATAACCATTGCTTTTTCTAACCATTGTCAAAATGTGCAAGATCTGTGTGAATTTCTGCCTCATTGTGTGGTTTTAGATTTATGCTATGCTTTGTTTGGCATCTTTCATTTGTGGCTTGTTCTTTCTGCATTGGCGCTTGATAGTGAGATCAAAAGGGGGTTTCTTTGGTTTCCATAAAAATCCAAAATGGTCTAGTATCATTTTGTGGTTCTTTGGGTCTTTTAGGGATTAGTTGAATGTGGGATCTTTGGAATTGAGATACTCAAGGTGGCGTAGTACCACTCAAGGTCTTATGGTTGACAAGATTAATTTGCAGTGCCAGCTAGTAAAAACTGACTTACTTTGGTAATGAACTTGCTTGCGTCCTTTTGTTAACTGAAGGAATCACATTTCAGTTTGGACTCTTCTGTGAAATCTCTATCTGCTTTTCATTTTTTTTTTTTTATAAAAAAAATGGCATCAACTGCTCTTTGAGTTTAAACACAATGTGATACAAATGTTTGATGAGACATCTAATGGCTATTCCCAACTTTCAAAAAAAAAAAAAGGAACAGGTTGCAACATCAAGATTCTCATTCTTCTCAAAAATTCTCTTCTTATTGTGAACTTTGATACTTTTTCCACATGACAACTTCATAGCCTTAATTATTTGTATACGCTATAAAGCAGTGACAATTTCATGCGGAGGGAATTTTTTTCTTTTGTTCCCCCAACTTTGACCATGCTTGAAAAGCAGAAGAGGGAAAGAGTTTCCTGACGAGTTCCTTCCGTTCATTGTGTGCCTTATTGATTCTTCCAATTTGTATTTGTCTGTTGCACTTGGTTTACTGTGCCTGCAGTATATATCTTCTTTAATGTGGAAGCACTGAACTATTATATTGCATGTTGTCTCCAGGTTCTTTTGCGTCGCTTTCAGATAACCCATAATCTATCACTAGATGGAGTGCTCGACTTCTTGAACTCAAAGAAAATGACAGATGCTGGTCCACTCGATTTAATTGACGATGATGACACTGATACAGAAGAAGGTGTGGATAAACAAGTTCGAGGAAAATTGGGTTATGATTTACCAGGATCCATGCCCAATCATGGAAGGCCTATTATTCGAACAAAATGTCTGAGAATTGCACCCACTGGCCGGAGCTTTTCTTCAGCGACAACAGAAGGGGTTCTAGTTTATTCAATTGATGAATCCTTTATCTTTGATCCCACTGATCTTGACATAGATGTAACACCAGAGGTAATTCTTTGATGCAATGCTGATGCTTCGATAGAGTCTAGGTTGCATATGGATTGGTAGTCCAAATTTTTGTTATAGGTATTCTCCATAAACAACTTGTTGAAAATTTTGAAAAACAACTTTTAATCTTTTTAGAGCCTCTTGTCAGATGCATTTGTTCAGGAACAGCAGCAGTTAGCTTTTTGCTGATTTTGTTTTGTTCTGATGGCCACATTGTTGCACAGGCAGTCGATGAAGCACTAGATGAGGATCAACCGAACAGAGCTTTAATTCTCAGCCTTCGTTTGAACGAAGATTCGCTAATAAAAAAATGCATTTTTGCTGTCAATCCAATAGATATACCAGCTGTTGCCGCCTCAATTCCTTTCAGATATCTGCAAAGATTAATAGAGGCACTTGCTGATCTGTTGGAAGGCTGTCCACATTTGGAGTTTATACTTCGATGGTCTCAGGTACTTTTCTGCATTTTTCAGCTTTAACGTTAGAACTGTTACTGATGTCTGAATCTAATTTGTGGATTGCGGTTTGTTTTGCAACAGGAGCTGTGCAAAGCTCACGGTAACTCTATTCAACAGAATTCCAGAAATCTTCTTCCTTCTTTAAAATCTTTGCAGAAGGCAATTACCGGAATACATCAGGATTTAGCAGATACTTGTTCTTCTAATGAGTACATGCTTCGATACTTATGTTGTACGGGTAGCAACAAATGATGGACACTGTTATTGATTAAAGGGTAATCTTCACATCTGGTTTTTGATGTGTACGGTTGTTTGGGATCGCTCAAGCATTGGCAAGTGAAAGGCACTTGCTTTCTCCTGTATGATAATTTTTTGTTTATCATCCTTAGACCAAGTGCTGCAAGTCACTGTGAATCACATGATCGAGTTTTTGATTGCTCATATCGCGATAGGTCTTGTTAAAGCCATTTTGTTTTGGGAAATATCCATATGATATACATTTCATGTATAATATACATTGTTGCTGTATGCGAAGGATAAGAAGGAAATTTTGATAGTATGAATTCTTTCCCTCTTTCTGCAGAAAGGAAAGAAAAACCTTATATTTCTGGGTTGCCTTTGTTTTTTTTTTTTTTTTTTTTTTTTATACTACTGTGATCTGGTGCGATATTCCCCTTTAATCCCTTTCCGCTCTGTGTGTATCCACGCCAGTTGGCGCCCACTGAATCCTTGACCATAGATGGAGGTACCATCCTAACTAACCCTATTGCCTACATGAAGACGAGTTTAAGTTGATACTATGCTGATTGCGTATACTTCTCATTAGGCAGCCTAGTTACATGCCTCTCCGGATAGGAGTCCCTAAGGTTGCCATATGGGACTTTGGCCGTACCTAGTACCATAAATTTTTCGTTTACGTAGGTAACTCTCGGTTGGCATTCCGTAAAGAGACCCAAATCGTAGGCCTTATGTGGTGACCTTCCTGAATATAGGTCGATAAGAAAAGTAGGCTTTTGACAAACAAAAAACTCCGACTTGAAGACCCTGTTCCGGAACGCTCCGATATCTTTCTGTACGGTCTCTAAATCGTGGCAAGCCCCATATTAGGCTCATCTACGGTGTCCCTCTATCTTCCGGGTTTATAGCGGGTGCTTATTGTCGGAAGGGTCGGGGGGTATGGCTTTCCTCTTGTCAGATCAAGGAAATTGCTCAAGGTCGCCATTCCTTCATTGAAGATTGCAAACTCTTATATCAAATTAATGCGCAAAATGAGCAAGCAAGTGCCATCGGAAAAGCATTTGGCAGTTGTAAATTAGGCCACCCCCGCGAATAATCTCTTTCTTAGGCTTTTCTGTCGTTCTTTCTTGTCACACCATTTTGGGAGTGGCCAATCTCTAGAAAAATTTATTTCCTCTCATTAGGACCATTGGTAGGTATATGTGTTATCTTAGATCATTTTTGGGCGATTTATGGCCCAACAATTGTTTGACGGAAGCCGAGCCGGTGCTTGCCGGGGCCACCCCAAAAAAACGGTTGTAGGTATCACCCCTTTGGTCGTAGCGAAAGTCCGACTGAAGCCCTGTGTTCCGGGAGCCGATATATCTTCTGTAGTACGGCTCTCGGGCAGCCCCTATAGCGACTCATCTAGGTGATGGTTGAGGGTCTTTTATGGTTCGGAACCTCGGTCATGCTACGCGCCTATCAAGGCTGCCTTTCAACGCAATTCATTTAAGCCGACTGCAAACTCAATACAAATTAATGCGCAAAATCGCTGCCACCTCGGAAGGCATTTGGCAGTAAATGTTAAGGGCCCAATATCTCTCTGGTCTGTCGCAAATTGTCACGCCATTTGCGATAACCCCGGGCGGCACAAAATTAAAAAAAAATTATTTTTTCCCCCTCTAAAAAAGGGGCGGAAAAAAAAACACCAATGGTAGGGACCGAAAAAAAAATAGGTCATTTAACAAAAATTTGGGGCAAAATATTAATCACCCAGGAACTCATCACCCCAGGCCTCGAGCCGGTGCTCGTTGGCCCAAAACAGTATAACCCCGTTCGTAGGAGCCGCTGACTGAAGGCCCTGTTCCGGAGTGCGACACGAAGAATTCATCGCTAATTAAAAAAAAAATGCTCATTTTTTTCTTGTAGCCGTGGTCATACTTCCTCACAAGTGAATCGAAGCCCCTCTAACCAGTCACTCTTGGCGTTTTATTGTAGGTGCCGCCTTCAAATTTCCTTTCAGATATCTTGCAGTAATGTATTTCAGTGTAATATTACTGGCTACTTGCTGATATGTTGGCGGGAGAGTAGCGCTGGCCACATTTGGAAGTTTATTTAACTTTCCTGCATGGTCGTCGAAGGTAAACTTTTTTCATGTGCCCCATCTCTTTTATCTCGCAAGGTTTAACGTCTGTTAGAACCTTTGTTAACATTGCATATCTGTATTTTAAGGGGGATTGTGTAAACTCCTGAATATTTCTAAAATTTGTTTTGCGATGGCGGTATGAGTTATAATTAATTGCCATAACATAGGAGCGCTCGAACTAGAGCTCCGCTCCACCTCCGCCCGGTTAAACCTTCTCCTACTTCCAAGTAAAGGAACTCGCACCAGAAGACATCTTTTCCGTCTCACGGTTCTCCCTTTTTTTAAATATAGCTCATATTAGGCCAGTAATAACTCTGTCTGTCGGCCCTAATGTCCCAAACGCCCATTTGAATTACCAGTGCATGAGAGACAGGCAATCCCAGAAATTTAGAATACCCTAGTTACTCCTCACTTGAGATCTATTGTAGGTCATTAGTTCATTGCCTTAAATATCATGTGTGATGTACTCATGTGCTTGTCGCCCCCAGTTCATACTTGTATTGTTGTTCCCACGGCCGGTGCTTCCGGGGCCCGAAGAATGCGATGGCAAACAAACTTGATGGAAACCACTGTAATTGAATTAACCTCCTATACAGTTGTGTTAATACTAATCACATTTCCTGGTTCTTAGGCAGTCTTGCTATAGTGAGATGCCACTCTGGTTGTTTGGGATTCCGGCAGTCGCTCAAGCATTTTTCGGACTCAAATCTTGTCTTGATAACAGGCAACTGTGGCTTCTTCCTCCTGTATGATAAACTGTTTTTTTGGCTTTATCATCCCTAGCCCTAGACCAAAGTTGCTTGCAAGTCACTGTGAATCACATGATTCGAGTTTTTTGGACTTGTCATCTCCAATTATCCGAGGTCTCACTCTATGGTTCAATACATCCTCAATTGGTTGTTTGTATATGGGAAAAATATCCATATGAGGTCTAGCTATACAGGTCTTTCAATGGTTAATTTCAGAATCGGATTTACATTTTTGTTCCGTCTATGCGAGAGGGTGATCGCCCAAGGAAATAAGAAGGAAAATTTTGATTAGTTATGAATTCTTTTCCCCTCCTTTCTGCAGAGAAAGACAAAAGAAAAACCTTATTATTTCTGGGGCTGTTTGCGTCCCCTTTGTTTTATGTTTTTTTTTTCTATTTAATGTTTGTATATTTTTGCAAACTTCTCTCTCCTAGTGAGATTTCAAACAAAATAAACTGTATAATGGGCTCGCAGAATTTTTAAATCTTTCCAGTTTGGGAGTCTGCTCCACTAAGTAACCTCCTTTTTTTGTGAAATGTTTGTAAAGCAGTTTGGCGATGTTTTCTCAGACAATTGCTTAATTTTCCTTCCCGAAACCCAATTAACTTACCCTTTAAAAATAATCTTCCCTGCGTACTCTGTTCCTCTGTTACCTTAGGAACTCTTATTACAACGCCAATCTTTTCCGAAGGCTAATTTTGTATGTGTTTTTTTCTTATGAACATGTTAGCGGTAATGTGGCGACTATTTGTATGATCTATTTCTGCGAAGGCCGGATTTCCACCCAGCCGGTACCCAACACTTTTGTTTTCAGGACAACCGTGTGTAGCGTTGCCACTCTCAACATAAGGAACACTCAACATTTTTTAAAAAAATTTGTTGAGAGTGAAGTTACTATAACCACATATAAATATTTCTATTAATGTACAATTTCAATAATTCTCGGAAGATGTGAATAGTCTTAAGTGTTTAAATATATATAATTTATTTTATACTTAAATTTTAAAAATTATTTTATTTTAAAAGATATTAAATGGATAAGTAAGAAACCCTAAATCCAAAAAGAGGTGAATCCATTAGTTTTATGTAGTTTTTTAATATTCTATTCAAGTAAATCTTTATTTTATGTTTTTTGACTTAATTTTAGTAAATTTAGTTGTTTTTTATATTTTTAATGTTTTATTAAATAAAAATTCGTGTTATAACTATTTATTAGGTGCAATGATTTTATTTATATTACCGGAACTTTCACATCATGCCTACTCTTTTCACACAACCGTTACTTCAAATACTTAATCATGGGCTATTTGTGTGAAAGCCAAGCGGAATACTCTATTACAATTTTAAAAATTGTGAAAATAAATTTTAATGAAATTACGATTTAGAAATAACTTTGGTTTTTTGAATATATCTTTTTGAATACCAATTTTGTTAGGAATTTTTGTTAAAGAATGTAGATTATTTGGTTAATTTATAGCTCTTAATCTTCCTCTCAGAGAGCGTCTTGAGGTCCCAACCGAAGGATAAGTCATATTTCTAGTAATACGATGCTAACTGCAGCTTATCACAACAGCCATTAAGACATTAGAGCCATCCTCCATAGGCGAAGACACACTCAAAAAGGAAACTTTGTCATGTTGACAAGACAACACTTTTTTGTCAGTCGGTATAGGAGAGATTGTAAAATACATCTCTATACCTTGCATGGGTTTAGTCCAGAGAAGTGGTGTACAAGTAAAATTAAATACGGAGATTCGTAATTCCCTTGCCTAATCAGAGATCTCATGGACGACGATTAACCATTTGGAAAAACAACGGACCACAACAATGGAATGCCCCTTTGCAATCAATAACTTTTCAATCAAAGGTGGGACAATGCGAGTGGATAGCCTGTAAAACAAAACTTTTTTACATTCAAACACATACGAGACAAAAATTCTACTCTCTTTTTTCTTGATATGACAGGATGTAGAACAAACCGAGAGCGCGCTCTCATACTAATCTATATAATATTAAACAAATGTAATAATATAGGCTGACAAATTATACTCTCGATCTTTTTCTGGTGCCATCTCCGGATTTGAAACCAAAAAGCCTTCAGGTTAAACATGTATCTCATAAAAAAGCTCATACAACCTACTCACTCTTACATTTCAAGAAGATTAACTTACTTCGGATTTATCTCCATTGGGAGCTGGCCCAAAGAATCCTTGCAGGTTTTTTCTTTCAATGGTCCCCCACTTTTGCTTGCCGCCAAAGTGGTACTCAAAGAAATCAGATCCATAGTGAGTTTCGCCTCTAAATTTTATATCTTCTCTGAGATTGATCCAAATCGGATGTCGGAAAATACATCTTTTCCACTCTCCAGTTTTGGAGGCACCATTTTGAAAATAGTATCCTCGTGAAGACATTTGTAGGAAGGATTGTAATCATTTTTGGGCGCGGAGGGGGGCGCCGAAAATTTTATATAAGAACCGAGACCTACGCTGGTGCTATGCACAGGGGGCGTCCAAAATTACTCCAAAACAAAGCGATTCTCAAGGCCTCAATAAATTCCTCCTCTTACCTATGCGCCTAATATCTAGCGGATATTTTTTTTTTTTTTTTTTTTTTTTTTTCCTTCTTTGTCAAAATAACGTATGTGATTTTCGTTTCAGTTTGAGTAATCTTTTTAATTTTAGGTGGTTTCACAATTTGCTTAATTTCTCCGAAAACAATTAATACTTAAATCTCTGATCTACTAGAAAAAATCTCCATATTTGTTTTTAACGTATTGGCATTGTACCATGTCCCCAACACTTTTCAGACAATTTAGTTGCATACTAAGAACAATTTTAAAAAATTTTATAAAGTTACTAAATAAATTTATTAATTACAATTTCAAATTGGAAATTTTAAGTATAAATTATATAATTATTTATACTTAAATTTAAAAATTAAAAGATATAAATGAAAGAAGAAACCTAAATCCAAGAGTGAATCCATAGTTTTAATTTCTATTCAAGTAAAATTCTTTATTTTATGTTTTTGACTTATTATAAATAGTTGTTTTTTATTTTTAAGTTTATAAATAAAATGTTAACTATTTATTAGGTGATGATTTTATTATATTTATGGAACTTTTACATCTGCTACTTTTTCACACAACCGTTACTCAAATTAATCATGGTCTATTTGTGAAAGCCAAGCGGATAAAATTGTGAATAAATTATGAAATTACGATAGAATAATTTGGTTTGAAATATTTGAATACAATTGTAGAATTTTTGTAAAGATGTAGATTATTTGGTTATTAAGCCTTAATCTTTCAACTCTTGTCCAAAAGAGAGAAATTTACAAAATGCAAGTGCAGTACAACACCATACATGAGCCATCCTCCATAGGCATCAAAAAGGAAACTTTGTCATGTGAAGACAAACTTTTGTAGTGGATGTAAAATTACCAGGGTCCCATGGAAGTAAAATTAACGATTATCTCCTTGCTAATCACGATTAACCATTGGAATAACAAGGACCACAAAATAGGAAATGCCCTTTGCAAATACTTTCGTGACAATGGATAGCTGTAAACAAATTTACTTCACATACAAAAATTCTCTCTCTTTTTTGAGAGAACCGAGTCTACATTATTAATATTAAACAATGTAAATAGTAAATTAACTGTTCGATCTTTTCTGTTGAACAAAGCTCAGGTAAACATGTATCTCATAAAAAGCTCATAACAACCTACTCACTCTTAATTCAAGAAGATTAACTACTCGGATTTCTCATTGGCTGCAAGATCTTGCAGTTTTTCTTTCAATTCCCCTTTCTGCCAAGGACAAAGAATCAGATCAGTGAGTTGCATATTTTATGATGATCAAAGAGAAAATACATTTTTTGAAGTAGGCGAACTAACCTGATGCAGGTCCAAAATTATATCAGATCCACCAATAAATTCTCCCTTTATGAATATCTGCGGAAAAGTCGGCCAATGGCTGCACAGAAATGTGGGATTTGAGATACCAGCAGATAAATACACACATTATTTTCTCTTGAACTAGTCATTCAGAATGTATGATATCAAAATCATTGTCATAATAATATCACAACAGTTCCAAGTGTAGAGTCCGACAAGACTGCTGAGGTAACTGACCTGAAGGATTTTACAGCACTTTTCAACTCAGGGTTCTCCAAAATATTTCTTGCACTCAAAGGAACATCTACAAAGGCCATACCGTTGTAAGAATACTATAATAGCCATACATCTGTATGCAAAGTTAAAATTAAAACAGGCAAGAGCTAATAAACAGAGGCCACCATTCTGATATTGAAAGAACAAAGAAAGATTGCAGAATTTCTATAAAAAGCAATTTTGTTCAAACAGGAGTAGTAATGAGATCATTTGACAAATGCATCTAAAGTACGTAAGAATGCAAAGTGAACATTACAAAGTAACTACAAGAAGGGAAGGAGCCCTCACACATTTCCCTCAATTTCACTATGCAATAGTCTAGCCCCCTACATCAATTTTGGGCCTCCCAAGTTTGATCTCGAGAAATAAATTGCACACCTCTATAAATTGTAACTATAGTTTTATAAGTCTAACTACATTTACCAAAGTGAAATTTTTATTTGTGTAAATATGCATCCTTCGTTGCTTAACTACTGAAAACTAGCACCTTGTTTTTTATTCCATCAAAAGCTTATCACCTTAGAGCCACAGATTATTAATTTTAATGCTATTAAGCAATATGTAAGTGATTTAATAACAATTTTTAAAATTTTTTTTATAGCCTAATTTATTTCCAATATTTTCTCGCTTTCTCTTGCAGATGCATTGCTTTTTTATTGTTAGTATTACAATTACAAGGAAACCTACAATTGTTTATGCCATAGAATAACAGATATTTGCTCAAAAGGTTGAGATTTGTGCTCATACTTGGTTACTTCTTCAAGGATTGCATTCTCTTTTATACCAAAATTGGAGCATCATTTTTCATCCTGCAAAGAATGTTTTATTTTCCTTTGAATGTCTTACATATCAAGAGATCTTAGGGCATCCTTCCAACTTTTCAAGAGAACTACTTCTAATGCTGTCTTCAATTCTCACCCTCTCTATAATCCATCTTTTTCTATTCTCTCTGGACTACTAGCCGAAAGGATTCAGCTCATGATCATTTGTAATATGTTTTTATAAATATATAAATTCATCAATACATGAAACTATCAAGGAAACAACAAATCCAGATTGCCAAAACAATAATTACACGCTTACTGTATTGTTTTAATACCCTTACTGCCAGGGCACTGAATCCACATTGAGGATAATCAGGCACCCCTTTCATGTAAATCATCACAGGATTGTCCTTGACATCCTACACCAAGAAGTAAACATGTAAGCTAAGAGGTTAAAAAATAAAAAACTCCCATTGGCTATTGAAAAGTAACAAGGACAAAACACGTCTTCAAAGTACATATTCACCTGTTCAACAATATCATTCAAAGATACTCCAGAACTCTCAGTCTTAATATTTGGTTGAAAATCTTCATGTGTGTCAGGATCATTGGGCACAGTAGTAGAGTAGCGCATTCCATTGTAGTAAAAGGATCCGGACACCTACAAATGATTCATATCAAAACATGGCTGATATTATGGCTATAATCCTCAAAAATATGCAAGATAAAAAGGAACCAAGTGTAGTATCAATTCATATGCCCTCACTTTATAATTTCAAACACAAAGTGATGGCTACGTGACCACTTGGAGAAGCTCTTATTTCAGAGTACAGTGAACTAGACATTACACATAGAACACATTATTACAATTGATTACAAAGCTCATTGGCCTTTCGTCTCTTATCCAGCCCAGTCTGAAATCAAGGATCCATTGATATTTAACCTTGTATTTCTTGCTGATAATACAAATGTTCACACAATTACCACCACCACCACCTCTCAAATTGAAGTATCCCAATTTCAGAATCTTTTTAAGTAATTAAAAATAAGTATGGTCATTGGAGATCAATATATCATGTGTAGGAAGTACGAATTAGGCTTAACCACAGTCTTAAACATCTTTCAATTCTATGCAATCTTATTAAATTGGTTCCCATTTCACCAGAAATTTGACTCCAATGTACAATCATGTGAAAAGCAATCTTTGTTTTCTTCCATTGTTCGAGTATAAAAAGACTTTGAAAACTCTTAACTTATAATTCATCTAGTGTAAATTTGAAATCTTGAAATTTAAGTTCAAATTTTGAGCCACAGCTCCAAGACAATAGTTCCTAATTCTAGAGTAGTCTTGCATGTTCTTACTAGCATTACTCTCAGATACTTACTAATAACCTTTTCCTCTATGTGCTATTAAGCATACAAAATTACTTCATATTCTTTTAGGGAAACTTTAGTGTCAAACTAAAAGCATCATAAGCTTCATTATTTAAGCAAACTCATCAATGCCTTCATATGAACTCTGCATATGCATTACTTCAATCGTCATTTTTCAAAAAAAAAAAACACTATTGTAGTTAATTTGCAGAACTTGAGCACATAATCCATTCCTGGTTCTTACAATTCTGCTAGACCGCGATGCAGAGAGACCTGCAATGCCTTTCAAGAGCATATTTGACAAAGGTCTTGCCATGGTGTTATCTGCACAGTAACAATAAGTCGGAATAAACAAACATTGACAGAATCAAAATGAGAAAAAAAAAAAAAACATTAAAAAAGACAGCATGTAAGCTAAGTTAAAACATTAATTAAGAAATTGAAATAACTATACTGCAAAACCAAAACAAAAGTAATTCAAGACTCTAACTGCTTCATATTTCATTGAAAACCAGAGAATGAGACTCGCAATCTTTTTGTTTCATTCTCTTAGTAGCAAATAAATCCCGAGAATCTAAAATACAATAGCAATACAAATATCTGAAGCGAAGATATGAAAACCCTAGGAAAGAGAAAGAGCTCGATCAATACCAGTGGTGAGATAAACGGTAAGTCGTTCTTTTGCTCAATCAAACCCTCTAGCTAGAGGAATAAATAGACAGAGAATAGCGAGAAATAAACCAGGTTTGGCTTGGCCGTGACAGGAGACGAACGGTAATGAGGTAATGGTTTAAGAGAGTTCGTTTATTAATGCTTCTACCAAAAAATAAAAATAAAACCTAATATTCCATTATTTAATAAGAGGGTGCGATTAAATATAAATCACACGATTTTCTTTTAAATTTTTATTTAAAGTTATTTAATTAAATTTATTTATTTAACAATTAAGTAGAATGACTTAATTTTATTCTAAATTTTATTTTCACAAATAAAAGTTAATAATTTTTTAATCAAATCCTGGTTGGATTAATAAATGTAATAAAAAATATATGTGAGAAGAACTCTACTGATTTTCACATGGTTGGTGTGAAATGCAAATAAAAGGAAACAAAGAAATTAATATTTTATTTTGATTTTTCTGCGTGTAATAATTTGTTTCTCAAAAGCAAAGTATTAGAAAAATCATAATATTAGTAAAGAGTAATTTTTTCAAAGATAAAATTGAAGTTCATTTAATCTGAAAAACTAAAATAAAATAATATTAAATTGCAAGCACCCCATTCATTTAAAAAAAAAAAAAAAAAAAAAAAATCCTGGCTTGGGAATTAATAAATGTAATTAAAAAAAATATATGTGAGAAGAACTCTAACTTGATTTTCACATGGTTGGTTGAAATGCAAAATAAAAGGAAAACAAAGAAATTAATATTTTTATTTTATTTTTTCTGCGTGTAATAATTTTGTTTCTCAAAAGCAAACAGTAATTAGAAAAAATCATAATATTAGTAAAGAGTAATTTTTCAAAGATAAAAATTTTGAAGTTCATTTTAATTCTGAAAAAACTAAAATAAAAAATATATTTAAATTCAAAGCAACCCATTCATTTAAAAAAAAAAAAAAAAAAAAAAAAAAAAAAAAAAAAAAAAAAAAACCTTTGAAACATTTCATTATAAATTATTTTCAATCTGAGCATCCAACTATAAAAACATAAATAAAAACTCAATGGAGAAGCTTAAAGGCATAACTAATGTCATTAGAGCAACTCCAATCTGAGCGTGAGTTGAAGCTTATATGGCATATTAAATAGAAGATGTTAATAATGATATAGGTATAAGTTTATTTGTGAATATTGAATTTGAAAAAGGACTTCTCAGTCCATCTTAATTAGAATAGGATTTTATGATGATCTGTATTAATAAGTTCAGTGTCAAGAAGAAATAGATTGAGCGTGATTAACGTGAAGAAAAGATAGTGTAAGAGGAAAATAAAATTAATAATAAAAAAAGAATTAAACAGTTGGTCACACTATTTAACAGACTCTTTGAAAATAAAGGGTGTGCTTTACAGTTTCTATTTTTTTTTTTTTTTATGCATTAGCTTAACAGGTTAAATAGACAGTAGTATTAAGAAAGATATTGTTATTCAACTGTCCATTTTTCTGATTTAAACATTAGATAAGCCAAAATTCACGTTTCCGTTAGAGTTGCTCTTATATCCTAACTTCAATGCTTCCAAAACCAGTAGTTTCAACTATCATTATCGCGTTCATCCCTTCTGTTTCTCCTAACATTGTTACTCTCTTGATCCCTTGTGCTTCTGACATTGTTGTTGCTCTGTTGATCCCTTGTGCTTCTTCTGTTTCTCTTGATCCCCTGTGCTTCTTCTGTTTCTCCTAACATTGTTCCTCTCTTGATCCCGTCTTCTAATATATGTCCAATAGTCATCTGTCCAATACTCTAATGAATGAGGCAACAGAATCTCCTGTTTCTCCGCCATTGATTCTTCTCCTTCACTTACTGAGGACAACATATAACTACATCTGCAAAGTCAGATTCATGAACCAGCCTTGTCCAATCACGCTGTCATTCTGGGTCCACCTCCGATGGCCGCACAGCAGGATGTTCAGATCTTGAATGCTTCCTTAGTTCTGAATAGTTCCCAATAAAATCACAATTTTCATAACAACAGCTCCTTGCTTTGGAGTGTGAAGAATTAATCTCAAATAATTCCACAATAACCTAGATCATGCAAACCACTAGATTCAACAAAATAGATTGAATAAGAAAAGGTTGCGTACCTGAATAGGATTGAATAAGAAAAGGTTGCGTACCTGATATCCGTTGTTCCGTCGATCTTGAAATGTGTAAGAATTCAGTTTGCAAGCCTTCCCAGAGAATTGAAGAAATCGATTTAGCGGAAGCAGTACGAAAGGAACGTAAAACCTGAAATCCGTATTCAACTCCTCTGGGGGAACCCAACGACTTTATATACCTTGTAAGCGTTTAGTGACAATTCCCTTATTTCGTTAGTACAATTCCTATTTCGGTCCTTTAAAGAAATAGGAATTATATAATGGTCTCTACACTTAATATCTATAATTAGTTGATACCTCAATAGTCAATTATTCACAATCAAGACCGCATTTAAAATTGACTTTATAATTAGACTGCTGTACATATTTAATTTTACATATTAAGCCCACAATAGAAAATTAAATCCAACAATCTCCCACTTGGGCGACATTATGTTAAATAAAATACATACACCAAAATGAGCTCAACAAACGCAGTCATACAAGGTATCCAAAAACAATCTCGTCCATTAATTATATTGATAAAGAACTGAAGAAACATTCGCCATAGATCTCATGACACTAAGTTTCCATCATCTAACTACATTAACCAATACCCTAAATGACAATAGATTCATTATAGAAAGTGTAGCAATGAAAAACTACATGTAATGTGATCATCATATCTGTTTCCAATGGTCACCAACAAAAGTGGAGATCAAGCAAAAACAATAAACAATAATAATAATACAGAGTGTAACCATCAACCAAAATGAGTACTCAACAAAATTTCATGATAAAACATATCCAAAACAAAATAGAGCATTCAAAACCATAATGTATACATAAAGAGCAGACTCCCACTAAAACTAGACAGTCTCAAACAAAACGATACCCATATGAGCGGTGTGCTCATGGAAAACTTTCGAAAACTTTCGGTATCACTGCCTTTGTAAGCGGATCCGCAATCATAGAGTTTGTTCCAATATGCTCTAAGGATATCTGTCCACTCTGTACCCTCTCCTTCGTAGCCAAGAACTTAATGTCAATGTGTTTTGATCGAGAAGAGCTCCTGTTGTTGTTGGAGAATAAAACGACTGACCTGCTGTCACAATACAACTTCAGTGGTCTTTCTATTCCACCTACTACACGCAGCCCAGTGACAAGGTTTCTCAACCAAATAGCTTGATTGGATGCCTCATAAGATGCTACAAATTCAGCTTCCATGGTGGAGGTTGCTACTTGCCACTAGAGTTTGTTTTCACACCCTCTTCCAAGAAATAGCACCGCCATCCAATAGAAAAACGTAGCCCAGATGTGGATTTTCTAACTGTCTTGGCATCCAGCGAAATCAGAATCAGTATCCAGCGAAATCAGAATCAGTATACCCAATGATCTCAAGCTGATCTGATCTCCTATATGTGAGCATATGTCCCTTAGTCCTCTGAAGATATCTCATGGCTCTTTTGGCTGCTTTCCAATGATCCATTCCTAGATTGCTGAGATATCTACCTAACATGCCAACTATAAAAGAAATGTCTGGACGAGTACAAACTTTAACATACATAAGACTTCCTATAGCTGACGTATAAGGAACCTTTTGCATTTCCTAAATTTCAAGTTCACTCTTTGGACATTGTTGATTACTAAATTTATCACCTTTTGCAATAGGGGTATCCAATGGTCTTCCAAGTGGTCCCTAGAATTCTGCATACTAAAATCTCTTGGGAGCACTTTATCAATATATGCTCTTATTGTATATCCAAAGAATACCTCGAGAACGGTCTCCGATGTATCTGAAATCCCTAAAACAAAGAAGCTTCACCTAAATTTTTCATCTCAAAATGCTTTGAAAGAAAAAAACTTTGGTTTCAATGCAGAAACTTTTACAATTAAAGTAGCCAAGAAAGTATGTCATCCACATATAAGACCAAAAAGAATAAACCTACTCCACTGAACTTATGGTAAGCACAATTTTCATTTGCCTCAAAGCCAAACGAGACAATTACTTAGTTGAACTTAAAGTACCATTGACGAGAAGCTCGCTTGAGTCCATAAATGGATTTCTTTAATTTGCATACCAGATGTTTTGGATCTCCAATTACAAAATTTTCTGGTTGCACCATATATATTGTTTCATCAATGTTGCCATTGAGAAACGTAGTCTTAACATCTATTTGATGAAGCTCAAGATCAAGATTTGCAACTAAGTCCATGATTGTCCTAAAAGAATCCTTCGAAGAAACTGGAGAGAAGGTTTCTTTATAGTCAGTCCCTTCCTTTTGAGTAAAGCCTAATCGAATCGTTGCATAGAGTCGAGTCGAGTTGGGCCGAACAAGAACCCGGTTCGAGCCATTTAAATCCAGAGTGGGTAGTATGGGATTTACTATAATAATGATAAAAAGTGGACTTACTTGAATAAAACAAAATTACTTGAATGAAACAAAAAGATCAAAGTATAAGGAGTAGGACTTACTTGCACTAAAATATAGAGTTTAGGTATTAAAATGTAACATAGGGAAAATATAGGTACTATCTGGTAATTTTAACATACAATTAAAGAGATGGTTGGAGAGTACACGAGACTTTCATTTCATTTCCCTTTCTTCATCTTCATCTTCAACGTCTTCTTCATCTTCATCTTCCTCTTTATCTCCTTCATCTTCTCTTCATCTCCTTCCTTTCTCCATCCATTTTCATGTGATTTAAACACTAAATTCAACCTAGAACTCTATCCAAGTAAGTAGCCTTTCTTAAATTTTTGTGATATTTTAGATGATTTATAAGAGTTATGATGTAAAGGAGAGGGGAGCTCAAAGTGTTGGAGGAAAAGGAAGCTAATAAGAAGATTTAAAGCTCTTTTGGTTAAAGGTTTGATATCTCTTTTAGTTTTTCATATTTTCTTGCATGAACACTTCTGTAGTATGTGGATAATGCAAAGATATGTTGCTGAATGTTGAATTAGAGGTCTGTAAATGTTGATAAAGCATGGGATGAATTGAATGAATGAAGTAGACATTGAATTCATGCTAAACCAGGTTTGTTGGATCACTGACTAG